ATATATATATATATAAAATAATTAACACAGCTCAAAATCAGCTGGCATACGTTGTTAACTTGTTAGTATGTCAATGATAAGATTATAAACAATTGACGCATGAACTTATAAATTAAAGTCTCACATAAAAAGTATCCTAAATAAATATAATATTTGTATTGAAAATTATGGTGAGATTACATTACATATTACAGTTGGGTGCATTGATAATATTTTTGTTTTTATAACTTGAATTATTTTATCATTACCTTTAAACACTGTTCAAGAATTTCCTTAAAATTTTCACAACTCAAATATTTAATAACTTCATAGTTGAATGGTGGTATAATTTTGTTTTACAATGGTCAATATATTTAAATTAAATTTATAAATTAAACTTACGAGTTAAGAAGTTAAGTTTAACTTAAAAATCGAACCTATTTATTAATTAATTCAAATTAAAATGTTCATGTATTTAATTTTTTAAATAATTTAGTTCAATATATATATATATATAGTTTAAATTTAATATATATTTGATTTTATTTTATTTAGTATTGTGAAACATTTTTTATTAAAAAATATAAATTATAAAAAAATGCTTTAGTATAGAAATTAATCGGACACAACTAAACTTATTATTGTTTATCTTAATCAGTTATTAGAATAATTCAGTAGCATGGAATTGCAAGGAGTGGAAGTGAGAAATGATTCAAAGAACCAGTTGCTGGGGCAAAGGCAACAAAGATATGCTGATATTCGACTATAGGCCCAACTAACAAGGGATTCAAGAATTAAATCAAATTGTTTTTTAAACCTTAAATTGATTTAAAAAAAAATAAAAAAATTATAAACTAAAAAAAACATTTTTATGCATTTTGCTTTTCAGTTCCAATGTTTTAATTGTAAAGTATATTAAGTTTATGTTACTTTTTCTATTGATTCTCAAATAAACTATAACTTAAAATGCATTGTACACTGTGCTAATAGACCATCTCAAACAAATTCAAATCATATTTTAGAATAATATTATATAAGATTAATATAATCAATAATAATAAAACTATGTATAATAATAAAACTATGTTATTATTTTATAATATCTCATTGTTAAAAAAGTATAATTACAAAATAATATTTTTTTAAATAATGTGTCAGCTTTGGATCAAATAATTTTTTTGATTATAATAATTTTCTACTCTCTCTCGAGTGATTATATAAAAAATAGTCATTATGTTATAACCATTTCATATTTCTTAAATTAAGATGTTTTTATAGAATAATCTTGATAAGATGTTCTATAATATATAATTAAATTTTTTCAAAAAATAAATTTTTAATTTTCTTCTTTAGAATATTTTGTCTTGCTTTATCTCTAGGTGAACCCTAATCGATGCCATAATTGTATTCAATAACAAATAAGTGAAAAACCTTATCGTGGAATAATATCTGAATCTTTGAGACCATGATTCCTGAATCTTGCAAGTTGAAACTCTCCTCATTGCCTGTCTAATCATTAATCAACCAATTTATAAGGAATAATTAGTGTTGAGCATTAAAGAAATTGAATATTACCATACTAGATTGCGAGAAGAAAGAAAAAGATGCTGTACAGACAAAAATATGCACAGATTCTCCAGAAGAAGAAATAAAACCAGTAGCATATTGAAAAAAATAATTTTAACTATTTTAATTGTTTCACATAATCTTTTGGTATGCCAACTTTTATTCGTTGGAGGGAAAAAATATTATGCTTTCTCTCCACTGAGTCTTTTCGATTTGTGTTCAGGGATTTGAAATTTTTATTAGGGATGTAATAAGAAGATTAAGAATTGACAAGAAACAATTAATTTTCATTAAAAAAAGGGATGAAAATTAATTGGATTTAGATACTATTATTAGATACCAAATTAACATTGTAGAAAAATATGTAACAAGTCCTTGCAATTATAACAAAGCTCCCATGAGAAGTGATGGGAGTTGTGTTAGTCAAATATGTTATTATAGGCAATATGACATAGCAATCAACCCTAATTTTCAAAATCTTGACGATTGTCTCTTAGAATGCTGAAATTGATAGAGCTCTTCACCATGGTTAGATTTCGATAGGAGAATAACAGTTGATAATGACTTTACTTTTGAAGGCCATACCTTGGCCCAGCATTCAATCTCCAGCAAGTAGGATGATTCATATTAGTTTTAATCCATCATAAGCCAATTTTAATAGTAATGTTTTAATAAAATTTGTGGAAAATAAAGAGTTAATTGTCGTTTAATTGTTTTACCCAAGATATGAGAATTGTATAAAAATATGTTAAACTCCATTATTTTATGTTTAATGCATATATACCTAGATAACATATCTTATTATGTTTATTCTAACTCAAACATTTGCAGAAAATAAAATTTACAATAGCCAAGCAAAAGATAAGTATATAAAATAAATTTATCATATATTTTTAGTTAAATAAATATATAAAATAAGCTTTTCTATTATAATATTTTATCTTAATACAAAATAAACATTATAATTTGTCAGGTGCAACTAATTGCGAACTAGGGTTTCCTCCCTTCTTACAGGGACACTTCACATTCATATGCATTACATGGTTCAAAATAATGTTTTTATAAAAAATTTACCTAAAATAGTGATTTTCATTTTTCAATCAAAACTCGATTTGTACTTCTATCCAATTAGGCCCTTAGTGTTCACACATGATCATCAATTCCATGTATGTTCTAGATAGTCATATGTTGAAGTTACCAAAACGATCATCGTCAGAATATTTTATATCTTAAATATAAAGCCATAATCTAAATATTGTTTAAGTTATATTAATATTTATAAGAAATATAAATATATATTCTAAAACTTGCCTTTTACTTATATTAAAATGTTAAATTGTTTAATGTATCATTTAAAATATTAATATGACAAAAATATTTTAAAAACTAAAAGAAAAAACTTCTAAACAGTTACATGCCTTGGGTATATACATCAGCTAAGGAGCTGGTAGAACAAGCATAATTGAAAATGCAATATTTTTTGGTCAAATTCTAACAATCTAATTAAAAAATAACGTAGATACTAGATACCAACTAAATATAGCTAAAATACAAGTAATAAAATTGAATTCTCAAGATTGAAATTAAGGAGAAAAAAAATTGCAATGCATCATGTTAGACGTACACATTTCCCAGGAAATTGACCCATCAATAAAAACAATAAATCCGTTATCGTCTTAAGGATAAAAACAACAAAAAAGACAACTTGTATTGAAGATTATTGTGAGATAAATCACAAGTGATAGCATAAAATAAACATTGAAAATAACAGAGAAAAGAAGATCCGGAAAAAATATTCAATAAAAGTGGGAATTCCCTTAAATCACTTGCAAGTAGAGGGAAAACTTCAAATTTAATAAACAAGCTTAATATCTAATAATGTTGAAACAACAGAAACACAAAATAATTGAAACAAAAATATAATGTACACTAATTTGTTGCACAACCTTAGCGTTGATCCAAATTTTCATACAAACAATGGAACCAAGATTTACCATCTTGTCCATCACTCTAGAACAACCACCTCTTGGTCAACCCTTCAGTAATTTGCATCATTGAACTTTTTGAATTTCTTAACCTGTACCTATGTTAAAAAATGGGTCTCCATCTTTTTAAAACAAACAATGCTTATACATCAACATTTAATGATGAATGGAATAGCAAAACATTTTGGGTATCCAAAGCTAGGCTTCCAATTTAAGTAACCATCCACCAAAAGGAAAGGGAATGAATAAAAACATAAGGCAATGCACTTTTAAGGTTTTGTGAGAGGTTGAAAAGTCAGCAACTACAAGTTATGCTAAATACTAAACACTAAAAACAAAAAAGAATTTAACACAACCCTCTAAATCCAACAACAACCAGGGACAGAAAATATATACATAAGCGAAAATTCCAAATAAAGTTGTATGTACAAGGTGAAAGAGAAACAACATTGAAACATTACCTTACGGATTTTTGTGTGTAAAACTGTAACAGCTATGTGATCATCATTTCAGCTTAAGCAACGTTCACCTGTTTCCTTTGGTAAATCTTTAACTACAATAATTATAAATTGTATAACAATCTACATCAGCTAAGAAAACGGAATGAAGATCTTACAAGGAAGGGCTTATAGATCCTATATAAGAATATGTAAGCACTTGGCAAGGTTAGAACGCTTATAGATATATCAACATGTTTCTTTCATATCCATCCATATTTAATTCTTCCACAGTGGCAATCAAAGAATATACATAACACATGTATTTATGTTTGAAGGGCAGCACAAGTGGGTTATTCATTGTGTATGCATGTATGCATGCATGTTATTTTGCATAAAAATAATGTCACGCCGAAGGGAACAAGTTTATGGGCCAGAATGTGGTTTTCGTTATGGGCCAGTTGAACAAGTTTATTAACGATTCGAGTAATAAGTCCAATGTTTCCTACTTTGTTGCTTTCAGCAGCAGGAACTGTTGGCAGCAAGATCATACAAGTTCCTAAATGATTTGAATGATTAATTATGATGTTTATTAGAAGTGAAATTAAGATTTTTAATAAGGAAAAATTAGGATTTTTTTTTATAATTTTTTTTTCACGTGTATGTAAGAACATTTTTTAATTGAAAGTGAAACATTTTTGGGGGCAAAATTAAGGATTATTAAATAAATTGTCTTTTTCCTAACAAACTCTTTTTTATATACCCGACTAATGATCAAATCTTAACCAATGTCTTCCATAGATAGAAGGAAAATGATCAAATGGTGCATTAAAAAAATAATTCAATTGAAATATTTAATTTGAAAAATAAAGTTAAAGCACTAAAATTATATACTATTCAAAATATATATACAAAAAAAAAACACAATACAATTATAATGCCAAAATTATTTATCTTATTTTCTTTTCACTCCCTCAACCTCTTTTTTTCTTGATCTTATCATTTTAATTTTACTGGCTCAGCACTCAACAGAAGCACCAAACAAGAACAACGACAACTCTGCAAACCGACGCGTACACTAACATTCATTCAACGACTGCACTCTGCAGCCGCTCTTGTCCTCTTTCCTTCCACTACGGATCCCATTCCTCCCAATCATCAAACACCTTCCACTGCATCTCTACCTCTTCTTCTCGGTAATGTTTCTTTTTCTCTTTTCCTTTGTTTTGTTACTTTAACTCCTTTATTCGCTAAGGAATCGATTCTAATTCGTTTTTTTGCTGGTTTTGAGTTTAAAGTCAGAGTCTTTGAAGGAAACAAATTTATGGGTAATCCTTAGTTCAATCCACCAAAGTCAATTTTCAACAACAACCCCCCCACACACACACACCACCACCACCACCACCATAAAAAAAAAAAGGCAGCATTTTTTTTTTATTTTATTTTTTTTTATGTAATTTTTCCATGGAGGTTAGATTAGATCATATGGGCTACAAATCGGTTACTGATGAGGTTTGATGGGTGTGATCAGATTTAGTGAAGAAAGTGTGATGATTATGAATTGAAGTGTAGAGAGAAGAAATGAACGTGAGCCATGCTTCGGTTCACCCAATTGAAGAAGTTGCAACGACTGAAGGTGGTGCTGACCAAAATGTTAACGTTAACGCTCCCAGGGTGAGGATGAAGGATATTCAAGGCATGCCTGGCACTGTTGGTGGCCTCTCTTTGCGAGTTTCTCAGTTTGTTTTCGCTGCTGCTGCACTTTCTATCATGACCTCCACTAGTGATTTTCCTTCTGTTACTGCTTTCTGGTAATTACTATTTTGAATTTGGTTATTTTTCCTTTTTCTAATTTTGATTTTGTTTTGTTTGTGGTTGTAAGAAACCTGTGTGGAGATTAAGGAAGGATTTGGTTCATTTCAGTAATCATTATTTGGATCAAATTGATTTTAATTTTGTGTTTTTATTTCCTTGTTATACTTGAAGAGGCAACACATTTTGCAAGAATGTTATAAATGAATTCTGATAATTTTTCATTGTGACATTTGCTAAGTGGGTATTGATTTAAGTGTTGTCTGATCTGGATTAGTTATAGAGTGCATCGTTTATTTCTGCTTGTGCTGCTGATACGTGGTTACAACAATGACAACAATGGCCCTATCCCACACGAGATGAGGTAGGTGTATGAATCACAATATGTCATTGAGCTAGGCTAAACACTAATTTATTAGAGATTTTATTTAGCATAAGATCATTTTTAATAAATTCCGCCGAAGTCCTTCTTGATCTTTCGCTACCCTACTTTAGAAGGCTATAAAATACATGTGATCTATGCTCCTCACTGGTGCTTCTAGTGACCTTTGTTCATGTCCAAACTACTCTAATTGATTTGCTATCATCTTTTCCTCGATAAGTGATTAGGTGCTACACCAATATTCTCATTTCTACTACTCTCATTTTTTTTTCTCTTGTCCAAACTGCTGATATGTGGTTATGAATTTAAAATTGTTCTAGACGGTTCTGACTGTGTTCCTATATGAAAATTGATTGGTAAGTCATTCTTCATATCTTTCAATATCATGGGTAGCAAATTCAACAAGTGTGAGGCAATTGAGTTGCTTGTTTAGAAAGTGCATTGAGTTGATTACTTCAATAAAGGATGATTTGTAGAATTATTTCTCAACAAAATGATGTCATTCATATTACTATATGATGCCAAAATGGAGCTATATAACATACAACTTTCAGATTTGTTTAGTTTATCTAATGATGCATCAGATAGAAATTGACTTTGCTTGACTCCACTATAATATTCTAACATTCTGGAATATGTCAAGAGTTTAAGAAATGACGATTTTTAATTAAAATGGTTTTCTTAAATGATTACAAATACTGCTTCTGTGGTCATTTCTTCTTAATGTCATAAGGATTAAGGAGTTTTAACATTTTGTTAACATCTATGCTGAGAGGACATGGAATACAGCTTTTGTAGCTGGATAGAAAACATTTGTGTGTTTGGGTTTGTCCGTTTTCATATATCACATCAATAATGTTCTGTAAAACCAAAATGCACGTTAATTATTGGAAATGTGATTGTTGTACAGAGTCATAGAATGGAATGAACTGATTTTGATAATAACTAATGCCGTGCCCAGAGGCATGTGATGGGGTTGTATGTCTTCGGTGCTATTAATTAATTGGATGCTTATTTATATAAGATTGGGTATTGATGCATATTGCTGATCTTAGACCTTTTTTTGACGTTGTTATCCTGTTCCATATATCCTTATGTGGTTTGTGATTGCATATATGATGGCATAGTTCTTACCTGTATTTTTGTCCATGCTGATTGGCCTCCACTGTTTAGCTGAAACATGTCATTCTTGCCATAGCTTTTCTATTTATTCTTTTTGAATTCCCCATTTTGTTTATGAAAAGGCAAAAATACTATGACACTACATAAAATCTGTCTCATCTTTTATCAGTTACCTTGTTGCTGCTGCCGGCTTGCACACTTTGTGGAGCCTGTCATTGGCCATTACTGATGTATATGCTCTTTTAGTAAGGCGTTCTTTGCAGAACTATCAAATCGTCAGTTTGTTTACAATTGGTGATGGGGTAAGATCTACTGTAAAACTATACTTTCATTATAATTTTGCAATGTTAAAATATTTGTCACTTTCTGGTTACTTTTTAGTATTCCCTTCACTTCTGGCTTCCCTGTGCAGCACACTTATTTTTCAGAGACACACCCACATAATTTTCATTAACTCAAAACATTTTTTGCAGAAGAATCACTTTTACATGTTTTTTGGTACTCTTTAACCTCAGCACCTAGTGGGATAAAACTTTTGTTGTTCTTGTTGTATTAGCAGCACACACCATAATTGCAGTGGAAAGCTCATTCCACTACTTTCTTTTCATTATCAACTAGTTTATAACTCTTTCAAGTTTCACAATGAAGACATGTAGAGCTTTAACTGGTGTTATTCTTTTCTCCTCTAGAAATGCTGTAGTGTTAATTTCAGAAGATCTGAATCTTCCATGCAGGTCACTTCGACCCTTACATTTGCAGCAGCCTGTGCTTCAGCAGGCATCACAGTCCTTATTGATAATGATCTTGGAAGTTGTGCACAGAACCACTGTGTGCAGTTTGAAACAGCTACAGGCATGGCCTTCATTTGTTGGTTCACCACAGTGCCATCTTTTCTTCTCAACTTCTGGTCCCTGGCTTCACGGTAATTAAAAAAAATTACACACAAAAACTTGAGAAACTTGGGCAGCTTGTAAAGTAAATGCTGGTGTAAGGGGTTTGATTGTTTTTTTCACCTGTCAAAGTTTTTTAAGCTTCATTTCACGTGTTAGGGCCAACTGGTTGAATGTTCTCCTCATGATCAAACCAGAGAGCTGGTTTGGGATTTTGTAATGTGGTATATTGCTTAGTCATGTTTGGTGGTGGAGTAAGTAAACATGACTTATGATCAATGTAGTAATGTGTCAAGAAACATTCAATATTGGTGGCGTTTTTGGTAATTTTATGGTATGATTGATTGATTGGTCTTGGCCTAACAAACCGTGTTATTGGGATGTTGACAAAAAAATTTCTTGTGTTAGGTAAATGTATTTTTAGTTCATAGTTACTTTATGTTTTTTCTATAATTAATATCATTTTTTTCTAGAAAGTGAAACATATTGTCTTCCTCAAAATAAAACTGCACGCCTTTGACGTTATGCTGCCTGAAAAAGAAAAAGAGAACGAAGAAAAAAGAAAAAGGAGAAAAATTATACTCCTTTTGTTCAGTTTCACATTGACGTTATAAGGACTTTCAATTTGTTTGGTTGGCTTGTGAGAAGGAGGGCACAAAGTAGTGGGGAGAGGAGAGAAATTGAGTGAAAAAATGTAGTTTTTAAGCTGTTTGAAACATGAGAAATAAAAACAAATCTGTCTTTTGGTCAGCCCTAGAAAAGAAATCAAATTTAACAATGTTAAATGACAGTTTATAATATAATAAAATGAAAATAAAGCAAGGGTATTTTAGTCATTACAGCAAAATCCTTTCATTTTGTGATCATTTTTTCTTCAAATCGGAGATCAGTTCAACTGCGAATCTCGCTTCCTCTTTTTTGTTTTTTTTTCTCTCTCATCATTTATACACAATCACGAAACTTCTTTCTAGAAATTTGGAATACATCATTCTAATGTGAGTTATTCAACCGTGGGCATATTAAAAAGATGTACAGCCAATCTTGATATGGTAAAAACTTGCACGAGATGATTTACTCTTTTATATTTTACCCCCTTTTGAATGTCATCATTGTTTTTATATACAAGTTTAATTAATATAACTGAGAACTAACTACTATACACGAATTTAAATTATGTGAAATAAATTCTAAAATTTTAACAGTAAACCTCATAAGCTTTGTTGATGCACTTCAAGTGTTGCCAGTTGCCACTCGAACCTTTTTCCACGAAAATTCGGACTTGACAATTTTAATTAAGTCTGCTTTGGATTTTAGCTGGCATATGGCATAGACAAACTTTGCTAAAACGAAAGGCAACGAAACATAATCAGCGCAACTTAATTTCACCTTGTCGTCAGGTTAGAATATATAGAAAATAGGAGGCAATGCTCCTTATGTGCTTCACTTTTAACCACGTTAACAATTTACATTCTATTTTTTACAACTGTTCTGACTTGAAAATAAAGTACCCAATTCAAATCCATTAATTTTTTCACTTATCCGATATATAATGCTATTCTTTATCACCACCATTAGTGGTGCAATTAATTTAATTACACTTCCAATTTTAATTTGTCCATTTTTAAAACGTCGTTTTATTAGTACAAAGGAAAACCTGTAAAAAAGTGAGATTAATACATCTCTCGACACAGAAAAACATGGGGATGTCAAAATTGAGACAAGTAGGTTAAGGATGTCTTGAATTAGTCACACTATGGACTGTGTAGTAACATTACAAAATACAGATGCACTTTAGTCACATCACACTTGTAGTGCACCTTACCTCAGTTGAAGGATACATAACTACATACAAGACGATACTCCATTGGGGATGCATTGAGTCAGTCTCACGAGTTAAGACGAGATTAAAGATAATAAAGACAAAAAAACGGAATACTCCACGTCATTCGAGTCTCGACTTCACTCTAGCACTAAATAATTTACAAGATTAATTCAATTTGGTCTCTGCACTAAATAAGAAATAAATTAAATCGAATTAAATGCAAACCTGATCCTGTGTTGTAGTAGATGAACAAAAATTTAGGAATTTTCTTTTTCCCTCCAAATTTATCTGTCTCTTCTTAAACCCTTTCATTTTTATGTTCAAGTGGGAAAAAGCAAGGCACACGAATTGGAATTTCATACAAAAGACCAATTTATGAAAGAGAAAGCCAAGCAATGAACAGTGTTATCTTCCCCAGTGAGCACTTTCCATGCAATGGCTTGGTCATATGAAACATGCCGTCCCATGGTGGACATGCAGATTCCAGCTGGCAGATAAGCAAATCCCTGATGGAAGAGGAGAGTAAATAAGCACACAAATTCAAAATAAAAGTCTCGTTTGTGGCATGAAGAGCAAAAATTGTTATCACAACATAAATAATAGAAGCATACTAAACATGTTAGTTACAAGAAATCACCTGTTGCATTAACTTAGCAAAGTCAGCAAACAATGTCTTGCGTCCAGACTCATCAAATATTTTATCCAATGTGATGTCTTGTAAAGCCACTAGCGTTGTTTCCAACATGTCAAGGCCAGCCTGATTTGCAAATATGAACACTGGTAACGACTGCAATATTGTGAAGAATTGCATCAGTCTCATGTGACAAGAAACAAAGGATCGCATACACTTCAGAATGAGACGAAACAAAATCCCACATTCATACCTTCAGCGAACAACACAGAATGGCATCCTGATGATGCCACAGATGTTTCAGCATCATGTCACCAACAAGAGAGTCTGAACTCAGTAAGTCGGACCCCAAATAGTAACTGATTTTGGAGAAACATATTAGACATCTTTTTGAAAGAAATATGAACTAAACTGTTCGACCAGAAAGTTATCAAATTGTAAACTAAATAAGTCTCAGCCTACTCGGTTACTCATGAAATTCATGATAACGTGCTAGTATTTACTTTAATACAGAAATGTTAAAGAGATTCAAGTAGACTTGCCTATAGCTCTGGCAGATCCAGTGAGCTAGTGTAACAGCCTCTGGAGAACCAGGAGAAAGTTTTGCTCCAACGGGTGTGTTGATACCAGATGGAGAAATAGCCATGGCAACCCTCTGCACAGAGGAAATTACACTTCGGACATATTGCCGTGCCATGACTGCAACATTATCTTGCAAGCTGCTGTCAAAAGGGAATTGAAAGGCAATAGTCAACACTGATCGAGTGTTATGACTTGATGATGCATCGGCACCATTTGCTGTTGCCGGACCCACTTCAAAACCAGATGTCAAATCCAGGGTCCGATTTGTAGTCATTGTATCCTTTTTATCACCCTATAACACAACAAAATAATGTTACAAATGGGATACATATATAGACACCAGCAACAGTAGGGTTCAATCTAACTAGCAGACAGTACATTTTCAGTCACAATCAGTATTCTGAATTTTCAAGTCAGTACTCGCACTCAATACAAGAAATTGAATGAAGATGAAAAAAGCCGAAAAAACTAGCGCAATAGAGATTGGTGTAAGTAAAATATGGAGGAACAAAACTCAACTGGTTTTGAATCCAATGGAATGATGCGGAAACCAGAAGGCACCAATGGAGCATCATCTGGGAACATTTCATCAATTGGAGCAAATATGAGCTCAGAACATGCCCCCACAGCATTCTCATCAATTCCACTACATATCTGCAAAGAAGATAAAACACAAGCACCTTAGGACCTACCTATTTTAAATTTTTAATTATATTTGTTCAAGTTTAAACCACTAAACTACAAAGACAAGAAACATAGATGATGTGAATATGCTAAGAAGACAGGCAGAAGAAAGCGCAAAATACATTGACAGATCATATTCAACATTTTGAAAAAGGACAAAGGAATCACCTGTAAGAGATGAATGTCCCTAGAAACAAAAGCGTCTTCTTGAGCAAGAGAGTGGCCTTCAAGCCTAATAACTTCAAGCATCTGAAGTGAAAACAAACTTTATCAGGAATGTTGCTTGTACAGACAAATGACTAAAAGAATCAGAACAATAATTGTTGACATACTGTACTGACCCTGCACATATATGTCAAACAAACCTTCCCCCCAAAGCAAATATGCATCCCCCATAAACAGAATGGACAAATAACTCATGGACAAGCTAAAAAATTGCTTTTACGGGAATATAAAACTACCTCTTCGTGTTCAATTGTATGGCCAAGAGGCATGATTATTTGACTGCCAGTGAATCTTGTTGGCCTCATCCCTGGATAGGCATAGGTGCCAGCTTTTAGTGATGCAGCAGAGTAAGCATCAACATTGAAATCAGCCCACTCAGAGCGGTGTTCCCTCAGAAAGCGAACCAAAACTGCAGGAGGGACATTCTGCAAGAATTGTCCACCAAAACTTGTCAAATAACATTGAAAGAGTTAACTGTTCGCCTTCTGTAATTTTAAATCATAGCATCACTTATCCATTTAAAGCCAGGATCAAGCTATTCATGAAACAAGAAAATCTCTTTTGGTGATAGTTTTTGTTGGGAGATCAAACTATTATCAGGGGCCAGTTTACTTGTAAACAAATACCATGTAATGCAAACAAACAATTTAGATTCAACATACAAAACAAAAATGCAGCAGCAACTACAAAGGCATTCTACATAACATGTCCGCAGCTATCAATTTATTAATAACAAAAAACTATCACTTAAAAAGATCATGAAAATGGGTACACAAGACTCACTTGGAGCAACATAGAAGCTTTCGCACAGAGGATTCCTCCAAGGAATGTGAGAGAACTCGCTGGATTAGAAGTGCCACTCAAATTTTTGGTTGAATTAACTGCAATAATTACATCCTCAGCACCATCACAGTTAAGTACAGTCCACCCATCATCATTGAATCCATTAACAGCATCATTGAAGCCTCTGCAAGTCAAATGCATTGATTTTCAGCCTAAAACTCATTGAATAAGAGATGATATAAAAAAAATCAATAATCTAGAACTGCATGATAAAATAATCTCCAACAAAACAAACTATTTCATGTGATGATGTAACTACCTGCTCAATCTCTGGCTGAAAGTTCGCAAAACAGCAGGCTGCCTACCCAATCCATAAACCACTTCACCACTTGTTTCTTGAGCTATTTGCCGGATATAGCGAAGTGCCTATCACAAAAACCATCCAATTAATACCTATCTTCTTAGAATATGTCATCGAACATGGGAATCACAAGTAGTGAAGATAGGTCTAGAAAACCAGTGAAAATAAGTCTAATTTGGAATGAAGAATGAAAAACAGAACAGAAGGGGTAAAAAGATATAAAGATATCTAATCAAAATATTTTAATGCCGGAGTCCAAAACCTTAGAGGCAATTTCTAGAGGACTAATCAGCTCCAGAGTCTAAGATCTGTGTGTCAAAGGTTAATTACTCAAAATAAATGATAAAATATTGAATTTGCTCAAATGATTGTGGTTCAGTTTGTCTACACTAACACTGGCCAACCAAATTTTGCTATAAAACCCTACATTAAGACTTAACAATAGTGATCTTACCGCAATTGTCATTTTCTGAGCTATCACCTTTGATGATTCATAAAGTGGTCGAAGCACTTCTGGCACACTCCACGCCTAGAGGAATACAATAAGCAAATTAATGAATATAAGGAGTGAAATCTACACAAGCTCGTTGTTAAGAAGTCAAACCTCAAGATTTAGGTGATCTACTATGTGGATGATTGACCCTCCACCCTCACATGGTCGAATCAAGTAACCACTAGGGAGCATTTCAGCCCTCACAAACTGAGCAGCAGCAGCTGGATTAGGGCCTGTGCCAGAACCAGACAGGGACCTCTCACAAACCTTCAAAATTAGAATCAGAATGCACATAAGTGATAAGTTTATTAAGCAATTTTCCTTCAAGGAAGAATTTAAAGAAAACACAATGAGGTTCAGTCTAGTGTATAGACTCTATGCAACAATAGTAATGTGTCAGGGACATGATATGATATACTAACCACAAGACTTCCATTTTCCAAACTTGTGGTGTATCTCAGAGTCCAGAAATCCCGAGCAGGAGCCAGTGTTGTTGGGGCATACGTCTGTAGCAATGTCAAAGTTTACTCCCAGGAATCAAAAGAAATGACAAAGAACTTTCAAATTCGAAGCTCACCTGTGTGTAAACAAGTTCAATGGTTCCTCCATTTCCGGCAGGAAACATAGTGAAAACTTCTAGGCTCCGACAGTCCCGAAACCAAGATGGACGATCTTTAAGGATCTCTGCAATCTATTGAAAATTTGGGGTTTACAAATTAAAAAGTCAAACAGTTTACAACATCAACTAACATACCAAGAAATGGCACAAAATCTTTTAACTATTATTTTACTTGGTGAATTTACCTTCGTAGGTTCTAAACTAACAAGACCACAGGCTCGAGCTGCCACTCCACTGCAACTTTGTGAAATGGCAAAGATCCCAACCGAATCCGGACCAGGCTGGCACAAAGAACTTTTTCTTTTCAGATAAAGACGTAATCATTGAGTTCAGTTGCAAATTTTGCTCACATATTCAAAATTTCAAATCAGCACAGTATTACAATAACTGTCCCATAGATGCCAAAATTATTAATTTATCAACTAATTCTACTACAAGGAAAACAAAAGAAGAAACCTTCATCCCAGGCATCTGGACCCAATCGACAGCAGTTCCCGTAGCCTTTGAAAGGAACTCTGTCAAGGTATCCTCTGCAATTGATAGGAGTCTGCAAGGACCACAATTAGAAAAACGAATTAGGGAAAGCTTCATGACACCAGGCAAAAAGTTCATTTCACAAAGCTCAAAATTACCCAGCAGGGTTATTAGCATCTCTCATGGATTGCTGAGGAGTAGTAACCACCGAATCACAACTAGCATCAGTAGTTGCTGCTGACGTCTGCAGGCATAGCAACAGCATGAATAACAGCGCAAACAACCAAATAAGCTTTTGCTTATTCTCGTAGCATAATAACATAATACAGGGTACAACAGCCACTAACATCAACTTAGAGCCTTAACCATGACACAGACATGGTACATGTAAGAAAAAAAAATGGATCGGTTCTTCTCTCAGTTTCTCCACATTGAGTGTGTCCCATTTGTTAATTTTTCTTGAAGACCCACAACAAGGTACCAAATTGACAAGCAGGCATAACACATGACAAGGATTATGAAAAGGGTCATGTCCACACACTCACTGTATGCAATTGCTGCCGCATATACCCATTCTCACACACAAGCTGTGACACCTGCTTCTGCAACCGATCATTTTCCTCCATCAACAACTTGTTCATTGCTGTGAGTTTGCGGTTCACAGTCTGAAGCCGGGAAGCCTCTTTTCTCTGCTTCTCTCTACACCTGAAAAGTACACAAAACCAAAGCAAAAGCACATCTAAGCAATGGTTTCACAATCCATGCAAAGTTTCAAAAAAAGGAGGTTGATTTGGCTTACCTGCGATTCTGGAACCAAACCTTGATTTGCTTAGGCTCTATGTTGGAAAGAATGGGGCACTCCCTGATCAATTGCTGTCTCCTGAGGGAACTAGGCTTAGGGCACTCAGCATAGACCCTTTCCAAAGCCTCAACTTGTTCAGCAGTGTACCTCACATACTTGCCAGAGTCAAGGTGCTTCTCAATGCTACCACTGCTACTGCTCTCTCTGTGTTGAGCCACAGCCATGGCCATGTTTCCCACAGTGTCAAAGAAGAAAGGTGGAACAAACCAGAAGAAGAGAAAAGTGAGGTTGTTGGGTTGGTCCTAGTAAAGGCGGTGGCTTGGCATATGAAATGCTGGGCAACGTTAAAGGGAAATGAATAGAGACAGAAAAAGAGTGCGTATTTTTGTGCAACCACCGGTATTGGTTCCTCAAGTTCTACCGTGGAAACAGCTCAGAGAAAGAAAGAAAAAAACTCCCTTTCATTAAAATTGCAGCTAATGGTTCCAAATTTTGAACAGGAAACTCTCGTCTCTTTACCAGCTAAGAAAAAAACAAACCCCCCCACCACACTGTTCCTCCTTTCCTTTTTTCACCTTCGACAGAAACTTGTGAAAGATTAAATTTTTTTTAGGAAAAAGGGAACCCCACTAGGGAGGCTGAAATTAGGGGTGGTTTTCTTTGAGTGCTGAGTGGAATGGATGAAAAATGAAAGGGAAAAAGGGAGAGAATGAGAAAAGAAGAGGAGCTTGAGGTAGAAGGAAGGAATAGGGAGGTTTAACTTTGAGGAGAAAGTGAAGTTGGTGTGAAGCATTGAGGTAAAAGAGGAACCCTAAGCATTAGTTAGAAACATGTTCAATGTTGTTGATGGATAAGGGTTAGGCATGGGAATAGGAATGAGAGAGTGAGTGAGGGAATAAAGTGAGAAGTGAGAAGAGAAGGGGAAGTTGAAGGGAGGGAATAGAAGAGAGAGACACACACACACACGAATATCGAGAAACATGGTAGCGAAGTTTTCTTTATAATTTTCGGCGCATTTACGTGGTTGTCCCTATTGTTCCTCTGAATTGACGTGTTGGGCCCCACATTTCACGCCCTTCTCTTCTCACCAACTCTGTTCTGCTCTGTTCTTCCCCACCTCCCACACCCCAATGTCAATCCCTCACTTCTAATTATTATTCTTTTTCTCCTCCTACTTCTCATCAATAAATATCAATATTTTTTCATATTTTATTTTCATAAATAAATATATTTAATCATTTAATATACAAGAACTTATTAATATTATAAATTTTTAAATAAAATACATCTTTTTACTTAATTAAATATTTGTATATTATAGATAAAATTAAAATTCATGTACTTTGTATTTAGTATTTTAAGTATTTTTCACTATTTTAAAATAAAATTATATCTCGACAATTACATCAATAAAGATTAATGCTGGCAAAAAATAAAGCCTTAATGCTATTATACGTCCCCACTAATCTTTAAAGTGATAACTTATTTTTAATTAAAAATAATTTGTTAAGCCTAAATTTGTTTAGAGCGAAACGAATTAAGAAAGAATAGTCTTACTATCTAATATAAAAAAATATTTTTTTATCTTTTTAAACAAAGTAAATGTTACATTTTATAAAAAAAATAAAATTTATAGACGTTTCTTATCTCAAAATAAAATATTACTTTCTCTTCTGAAAAGTTACTTGTTAAAAAAAACGTTTTAGGGCATTCTCAATTTTATGAATTTAATGGATGAAATCATAATTAAACAATTTTTTTTTAACGTAATTAGGATCATCTTACGCTGAAGTTACACGTTTAATGTAATTTTTAATTATTTATATGATTATTATAAATTATACACTCTAACGTAACTTACTCCTGGATTTTATTTTAATTTCTTAAAAATTATATACATGAGTTACATATTTGAAAAAAAAAAGGTTATATATACTGTAGATTTATGTTTTTACTTTTTTAAAAATATAAGTTTTACACAATATATACAATTTATATATTTTAATAAAAATATTCAGTACACAATGTCCACTCTTGCAAGTATATACATTGTTGTTTTATTAGAAGAAGAAAAATAAATAATCCATTGAAGAACAAATTTAATTATTAATATTATCTTTTATTCTGTATATTATTAATTTATAATTAGCAATACTAAAAAAACAATAATGGTGCTTTTTTATTTACAAATGACAATAAACAATTTTTTAATATATGACTACATTTTAAAGTATTTTTATCCTTAAGGATATTGTCAGAAAATTTAATAAACAGGAAAAAGTATTATGTATCAGTTATGGATGGTGATTAAACGAGAAAAAAAGGAAGCTGAAAACACCTTCTCAAAATATTATATTCAAATTAATGATTTATATTAATATATCCTATTAATTATTTGTATATGGGTATTTATATCTATAGTTATGCACCTTTTACCTAAAAAGGATATTTTTTTCAAGCTATAGTGTTAAAGTTCTGCAGTTACTATTTCGTTTATCTATTGTAGTCAAACAGTTAAAAGTCTATGAACAAATATATAATACGATGTTTATGTAAACTACATTATTAAAATAGACAATATTTACTTTATGAGTTTTATATCTAAAATAATCTCAACATAACAATTAATTAATATCTTTAACATGTATGTAAAAAATGAGATATTAAATAAAAAATTATAAAAAATAAAACCCCTTTTAAGTGATATTTTAATATTTTATTCGCTGAATCTATAAAAAAAATAAAAAATTCAATACCTTAATGATAATATTGTTATTTATTATTCTATGTTACAGAATTAGTATCAATGACAAGAAAGATGTTCAAAATGAAGTATATTGGGTGTACTCAGCCAATGAACAGTGTGTGTCAGCAGTTACATATTTCATAATTATTAGTACTTGGAAGGATAAAAGATTGGTTAGTATGAGTTCATCCATGTTACCCTGCAAATCATGGTCAATTCAACTTAGACATCTATGAATCAAAGCTATATTTACTTGTAACTTGAAAATAAAATGGAGGAATATAAAGTTATTCAGAGATAATAATGGAAATGGCAGTGTGGAGATTCTTCAGGTAAGGTAAGGACAAATTCATACTACAAAATTTGAGGGACCATGCTTCCACTTCCAATAATAGTAATAAAATAATACACATAAAGTTTTCAAAGATTTTTTCTTTTTATACACAAATGAACTTGGTTAAGAGAAAACATAAATCAGAATGTAAATCAAAGTCTAATTCATAACTAAATTGATTATTCTCCGTTTAGTATTTTTATTTAAATAAAGTTGGCACTATACTTTTATTATCAATAAAAAATAATATTCCGGCGCCGAACTACACCAACGGCGCACGTTAGTCTCCATTGGTGAGAGTTTGAGTTTTTTATTTAAATAAAAAATAAAACAGTTTTGATTGAATATCCACCAGTAAAAGTAGGTGTGTGTATATATATGTATATTTAAAAAGAAAAGGAAATAAAAAATATTTTATGACGTGTCATTTATATGTGTTGCCTGCTTTTGGCATGCGCGAAAAGTTGTGTCACGTGCTTCCCATAAATTGAATACTGAGATAGAGAATAGGTATATTAGTTTAACATTACTTATTATTTGTTGTTTACTCATTATACTCAATAATTAATCCAACTTTTCTATTATTGCATCACAAGCAACAACTAAGATAACATAAAAATTTTGCTCTTTAGCCAAATCAATCTTTTTGATGGAATGATTTTATATTTTTATAGCCTCATTAGATATCATTCTCAGATTCAGATCTACCTCAAAGAGCCCTCTGCAGTTGCACAAATAATCAAAATACAGGTCCAGATGTTCTTTTTATTCTTTTAATTTAAGTTATATGGAATTTAGATCTTTTAATTTTTAGGTAATTATGTATTTTTTTACCTTCAAAATTACATTTATTGTGATTTTGGAGATAATTTTCAATGTATATAATTAACCGATCATTAAAGGAACTCCTGCTAAAAACAAGCTGGTCTTGCTGAGCTCCACAAACGAAGGATCTCAATTCTCATGCATCGAAATCAAAATCATGTTCTTAAAATTAAAAAGTCAAAGCCTTTTATCTTAAAAGCAAAAGAATATAGAAAATGTTAAAACATGGGGGGTGAAGTTAAAATCATCTCAGACTCCTGTGCATATACATATGTAGAAGGCAATTCGGTGGTGGTGGATGAATTGACACCATAAAAAAAGGGTTTATATTACAAGCAGAAAACAACAAATGTGGATGCCAAAAGGGCATTGAAAATGTATAAAATGACAGAAACAGAGAAATATTGACATATCTACATTGTTAAAATACAAATTAAATATATATAGTCAAGATCTTTGTTTGGATATGATAAGGGAGGGGAACTTAGATTGAACACCTAAGTTTCAAAAAAGAGAAGATCTTCCAATCTTCTCCATACGACTTTGGGTTAATTCCATTGGAAGCATGCCAATGAGAAATACCCATGTGGAAAATAGGAATCAAAAGGTAAAAGAAATTGACTTCCAACATGGGAAAAAGCCCTTCATGCTTCCATGGTGTTGTCGGCATTATTTGGGTGCAATCAGTTCATATCGGACAACAATCCTCTCTCCCATTCTCTCTTTCTTTCTCTGTGTGAAAGGGAAAAGAAGAGAATCCTTAATATATGGACAACACTTTGTGCCTCATGATGTGCATCTCTCATGCCCCTCCCACTATTCAACTACACCCATTTTTATCACTTCTCAATTCCATTTTCTTCTTTCTATCCATAATACCCACTTAATCACAGACATCTCAATTGATTACGTCTTTTCCATATTTTTCGAATGCAATAATCACCATTTTATTCATGTTTCTCTTCTTTCTTTTTCTGAAGTATCAATAATTCTACTGCTAGACTACGCCATCATCTAGAACATACGTACTAGACCAGCAATGAAGTTTAGAGTGATTATTCATTATAGGAGAAAAAACTACCATTACCTTAAACTTGTGTCTTTTATAAATAGATGTTTTAACCTTATATTTCATTTTAATTAATCTTTAAAAAATACTAGATTCTTCCCTTTTTTTTTATAAATAAGAGTTTAATGATTAATTCAGAAGACATGTATGAGTACAAGATATATACCTATTTGTAAAAGACATCGTGGATGTATTTATCTTCCTATTAAAAACAAGGAGTACAAATGATTTTACCTTAGTAATTTAACGTTTGACTGATAGAAAGGTGTATTATCACAATAGTAAAAGTTTAAGGACGAATTAAAATAAAATAAATATTAAAAATATATGTCCACACCAAATACAAAGTTCATGATAAAAAAAAGTTTAGTTACGAAATTATTATAATTGGCAAAGCCTCTCATGAAGATGATATATAAAAGAAAGGGAGTTAGAAAAAAGATATTTAAAAATATGATTTATCAACTAAGCAAAAGGGGTGAAATGGAAGGCACGGTTGGAAAGAAGTTTGATTTGTTTTTTTGTCAACTTAGAGAAGAACAAACACAGTTAGGGTGACATAAGAATGAATAAAAATAAAAACGGGGTTAAATATATATAGTACAATGAATGGTGTATGATGAGATATAAGAAAGTCAAATGGGAATATTTTCTTTTATAAACTTTACAATGATGGGATTAACATCCTTCCACTTTGTCCCCCTCTCCTTCTCTGATTGTTGTATCTTTTGTGTTTTCTTTATGATTTAATTGATGTTCTCCTTCTTCTTCTTCCCAATGGGTGGAGGGTTCCCATCTCCTTTTGCCAAGAGTCATTGCTTTTCTCATAGGAAAGGAATATAAGGGCAGTGGTGGCTGAGGCTATGCCTCTGTGCCTCCCTCTCAAACACCCTTTTGGGCCCCATTTGAGGTCCAATCAAGTGGGCCCTCCCTGTCTGGGCTGGCTCCATACACACCCCTCATTGAATTTTCCTTTAAAAAAATGGTTTGTTGCGTAAATCAATAGAATGCTGAGGTGGCCTTGCTTTGAGGGGTTGGTGTCGTTGAAGTGGAGACTTGGTCCCACACAAGTCAGCCACTTTGACACACAGTGAATCTCTCTCCCTCCTTTCTACTCTCACTCACCTTTGCTTGTTTGGCACACTTATTATTGTCATTATCGTACCCTCTTTTTTCTTTTTTACAATTTTCTCACATCATTTCACTCTCCCATGCTCTGTTCCTTTCACCATAAAGCTTTAACCCACATATGGATAAAGATGCCACTGCAGGGTCTTGGTGGTTAAGGGTGTTGCCTAAGCAAAACTATGTACTTGGTTTCAACACATATCACCACCATTCACACCCCCTACCCGCTTTCATCCCCACTCTCCATACCAACATCCCTGCTTGCCACACAACATTCATTTTTTTTTATAAAAATCATTATGAGTGTTATACAAAATAATATTAAAAAAAACACGTATGAAAGTGTATTACTAGTATCCTCTTCGTACCACTTCACGACAAGCAAATTAATTGATGTTGTATAACTACCTGATTTGAGCCCCTAACCTGTCATAAAGAGCAGTATAATTAGGCCAAGGCGAAAGGAACAAGGGACCCATTAGTCACTTCACGTGAATGTGATCATTGATCACAAATGCGTGCCAAGAAATACAACATATTCCATATTTCAACAGTTTAAATTAAAACCATATATAACATTACATACATATATCTTAACAGTATACTCTAGGAATAAAAAAGACAATTATCTCTAAAACGATACAAAAAAATATCCCAAAACTAAAGGGTCGACACAACCCTGCAGCGGCACCAGAGGTGACTGTGTGGGTTGTCTTATTCTTTTATCCTTTTTGCACTATTTATATTTGAAAGCTTGCTGGTATGCTCCAATGTGGCACCCTATTGAATTTCTTGTTCTTACGTAGTAATATCCCACCAATAAAAGGTTGCCAATCAAGGTCCAAACAAACTGGCATCAATTAAATTTAAAGAATCGTACCTGGGATACGAGATGCCCATGGGACTATGGGAGGGATCCGTGCACAGTTTTACCTATACTTTGTCCTTATCTCATATGGTGGACTTGTCTATGAGATTTTACTATGTAATCTTTTTCTAATACTCTATCTTTGTCTTTCCTTAGTGAATTTTCTTCTTTTTTTATTTTTTAATAAAGCAAGACATAAATGTTGGCTCCATATGCAAGTAAGATAATAATCTCTTTCTACTAGTGACTTCCCATCATTTTCTATGAACTTGTTAAAAATGCAAAGTGGGATAACGTCGTACAAGCCACTTAACCACCTTAACTTCTTTGTCTTAATGGAAACCAATCAAGTTGGAGAAAGAAAATTCCCTCGATACATCCAAATTCTAAAGCCAGCTACTAAAACTTTGATGGGCATTATTGTATGTCAATTATAAGAACCAAATTAGTAGCCAAGAATAACTTGTGAACGAGGTTGATTACTTAACATTATGTTCCTTATAGGCAACAAACGAATTGGCTTTTGATTAGCACAAAACCTAGGCATTGTTCGTAGACTAAAATTAAAATTTTATTTTAGTAACATTATTATATTTAATATTATCGTATATTATTAAGATAAAATTGTATTTTTAATTAATAAACAAGTCTAGAAATTTAAATTTGAATTTTTTTATGATTATAAATGTAAATTACTTTTAGTTTGATAAAAATGAGTCAAGAGAAATTATAAAGAATTTTAGATGAAATTATTAAAAAAGACTTTTAGTTAACAAGAATTTTAAAAATTTAACTTTTAATTTAGTTTAATAAAATTAAGTAATTTATATAGCTGACCTATCTAATGAAATAAAATTTGATTATTGTTATTAATTATCTAATGAAAGTTTAATCATTACCTTTTATTTTTTAAAAATTAACAAATTTATTGAAAAATTTGACTGGATGGAATTTGCCCTACTAGGAATTCAGGTCCTTATTATGAGATGCCCCACTTAACAAGAGAGTTCAAATGTGAGAAGGAAAAGCATATATGAGAATGGAATTAATTGTTATAATTTTGTAAGAAAATTGAGAGAGATAAAGTAAAACAAGGTTGCATAGCAATAAATGAATGAGAATAAGCAGTTATACGTTTTGGGAATCTCTGAACTCAATTATGGCATATACTTGCAGTTTCTGATTGTAATGTTTTTAGAAAAGAGGACCTGCATGATAATAATTACTAGTATTAACTTGGGAGGTCAGCTTAAAATTCTGTCAAATTCAAACAAGCATTAAACAAAGACCAACTACCACCCCATGACTCCTTCTGCAGTTCCATTTAAGACTGCGACACAGAAAGGATACAGATGATTAGTCTTAGGTTGTGTTTGTTTAATTATAGAACTTTGAGTTAACCCTTCTTCTCTTGTCACCAATCTCAGATTTGCATTATTTACAAAGCGAAAGTGAAATTTGTATCCCATTGAACAGTGCTTCATCAGATCATCAACCACAACATGAAAATGACTTGACAGGTTGGGAAGGCATTTCATATGGTTTAATGTGATTTCACATTTGAACTACTCTAAGGAGTGTGTTTCAACGTTCGATTCGTTGAGTTCTCCGTGGCAAATATAAATTAGAAAAAATAAATGATAATAATCATAATAAATGTTTATTAGAGTTTTGAGAGACTAATTACCAAGTTAAAAGTAGAACAAGTGTTTAGTCTAAAAAATAATAAATATATTATAATAAAATATAATTATCTACGTCGACTTGAAACCAGAAGACATTGAAAAAGGGAGAACGAACCTCATATTATATTAGGTTTTGAATTGGACTACCAGTCAAGTGATGCCGCAAGACCATCAAATGATGTAACTTTCAAACGATTATTGTATTAAAATATGTCGGTAAAAAAACAAAATTGATAATTTACAAAAATATAAAAAATCAAAATCAATTATTTTTAAGAAATTAAAATAAAATCTTATAAAAATATAAAAATTTCAAAACGTATTCAAGCTTAAAAGTTAAACACAGACATATTCTTCGTTGAAGTTATCAGAGATAATACACATACATATAGAAACTCGTACATGCTTATGTTTCATCATATTTTCTGCATAAAAACGCATTCAATTCAACAGCTCAACATAAATATATTTATTATTCCTTCCGATTTTTCTTTGACACTTAGCTTTCTCCGCCCCCTCTTTTTTTTTCTTCCCTTAGACGTTTAAAATTTTGTTCAAAAGTTATTATTTAACTTTCTGTTATACCTTTCACTATTATATCAATTAATATTTTATATATTTATTTTATACAAAAATTATTAATAAGGATAGAGTTATAAAGATTACTTACAAATCATATAAAATATTAATAAAAATAAACAAAATAAATTATTAGTGTAAAAAAATGTAGGAGTAACAATTTTGCTATGTTTATTTTATAAAATTAATGAAAAATATTTTCTTACAATTTTATTTTTAATAAATAATTTTTTGTGTAGAGATGATAAATAAGATATTAATGAATATAATAGATGAAAACTACTTTGCTTATTCTTTTAACATTTAAGGCTTGTTTAGTGAACAAGATAAATAAAAATGATATGATATGGAAGTTAAATAAAAAGAATAGAATAAGCGCTAATAGACACTGATCTTAGTATATACCAATATAATAAACCAGATACACTATATCACTTAACATCCTATTATATCATATATTTATTATATATACTAACTCACCTATATGTTATTTTCTACTAAATGAACATTAATTATTAAAAATAAGATTAAAAAAAATAATTTTTCATCAAATTTGTAAAATAACAATAAAAGGAAAACAGAGAGAAAATGTAATAAAAAGTTAAGTAATAATATTTTCTAAAATTATAAGTATCAATCATTTTCTTAAGTTTTGTACAGAACATTAAACATAAAAAAGAACAAAAATATTATATATTTAAAAGACTACTATCTCCATCCTAATGACTAAATTTAAATAATTATTAAATATAAATTGTATATGAAAAAATATTGTTTATACTTTAATATATTCAATGTAAATGTAAATGCAGATGTGTTAAGCATTCACCTATAGACTGGTCTTAACCAACTCAACAAAATATAAGAAATTAAATGTTTCTAGATGCTTAAATTGAAGCTTAAGAGGTGTGATTAGCAAAATCCTGATCATAATGACTGATCTGCTTGAACGTAATCACAAAGCAACGTAGAATCCAGGCAGAGGAGCTGAATTAAAATGTTTGAAAAGTATGGGAACACGATCCGTGAAGAACACAAACGTTAGACGTGCATGGGCTGCGTGGAGTCCATTCATGAGTGAGGGTTCTAAGTTTGAACATGCAATGGGGTAATGTCGACCTATTCAATTCAACACAAGCATGTAATCTCAACTCAACCGAAGGATGTCAGTGATTGCTGTGAAATATGTATAATAAGATATGACTAACATTAACATACATAAAATAAAAAGCATAATAAAAAAATAACATATGCTGAACCGCTCTTCAATTTTACACATACTTCGACCCGCTGATGCTAACCTGCACCAACTGTCGCATTTGAACAGGACAAAAGCAAGGAGTGAAATTGCATCACTCATTATAACATCAGAACCAAACTCCACATCCATCACTAAACCATCATTCAAATTTTCAGCTGCTCCATGCTCTGCAATGCCTCAGATTCCGGTGGACTCTTGTCGCTCTTGTTGCTCTCCTCGGTCTCCTCAGTTTTAGCCGGTAGCTTGTCTTCCAGGCTAGGGGCACTCACAGTTGGTGGGTCGCCTCTTTGGATGGGAACCGGTTCATCTTTTGGGACCGGTGGAGCAGCAAATACTGGAACGGCTTGTCGTATTGTGACCGGAGGAGCAACCCGTACAGGAGGAGCTCGTAGTACTTGATGGGACACTGCAGCGGCTGGTGGTGGTAGGGGAGGTGGAGAGAACACAGGTATTGCAGTCCTTATAGTCACCGGAGGAGCAATCCCCTGGCAGGGTGGTCTCATTTGTCGAATGGGGACATAAGGTGCTGCTCCTGCTGCGGGGAACTTAGGGCGACAGATCCCTCGGATTTCTGGTGCAAAAGAATGTGGTGGCATTGCAGAATTGTCACTGGCAGCTGCTGCTGCTGCTGCTGAATGCCTGCTTCGAGGTGCTGCCTTTTGGCAAATTAAGGGAAGTATCTTTGATGTTGCCGCAGGTGGAGGCTGAGGGCTAGTTGGCCTGGGATTTTGAATCTGAAACTTCTTTGGAAATGGAATTGGAGCATTTGGATTTGAGATTGACATTTTTTCCTTCAGTCGGTAGTTCAGTAAAGCCCGGGCTATAGTGATCTGTTCTAGTTCGTCGTTGTTCTCCGGCTCATTTGAGGAGCTTGCAGTTTCTTTTGCCACTGTCAAGAAAGAAAACTACAGTCAATTCATATTTAATCAATTAATGGATCTTAAAACCATAGTTCTCAATCATACAGAACAGCACAGAGCAACCAAGCTAAAAAACATTATAGTGGCATGGCAGTTAGAAGATGGTAATATACCAAAGATTATGGATACGATATAAATAATTTATACAACACATTTTTAAATACTTGGAATATAAAAACTGCCCAAAATTGAAGACATTCAATTTTTAATCAGTATAAGTTTTAGTCTAGATACACAATCACACTCAACCTAAGACGCAAGAAACAAGTCATAATCAAACACAGTAAATTGAAGCAGGAAAATTAGCGTGGCTGGAATTAGAATAGTGGCTGGGAACATGTTGAACCTGAGCAAATAACAGATAAAAATGTGCAACCAGTTCCAATTATCTAAAATGTTTGGGTGCATGCCAGTCTATCTACCCAAACGAAAAAAATTAGTCAATTAAGCAACAAGTATAATAAAAAAGAAAGTGGGAAACAAAGTGACAGAGTAAAAACATAGTAATTGAGGCTAGGCTGCCCTCAAACAGGCCCGAAATGGCTGGAAAATACTTGCACTTCTGGAAGATAGTTGGAAAGAAACTGAGGTGTGAACAGAACAGGTGGGGGGATTCTAACCATAAAACATGGATTTTGTCCCTAGAGTCGCAAGTGGTACAGGTGCAATTTTGTGTCCAGAAGGCTGTAATATCGACTACAATAAGTAGCCAGGGGCCACCCCACCCCACATTGCTGCTAGAGTAGTACAATTTGCTGGTATTAAGTAGCCTGCTTAGAAATAACTTGGATAAAAACACAATGAAGAAAGGTAGTTTAGAGAGGCACATAGCCACTTAAAACTATCTGAATATAATATTGTGTCTTTCAAAGTAAAGTCACATGGGATGAGGACAAATAAGTACATGGCATTTGGGTGGCTTGTTAATCATTCATTTGTTGATAATGCATCGAAGACGGTTTTAGCCTTTACCATGGACAAGTTGGGGAAGTACATGAGAATATTTGGGAGACAGTTAGTACACTCCTCAGCAGTTCAATGACATAAAAATTTCAGCCTGGCTAACTAGCCACATTTCTTACAATAATTGATAAGAATTAGGGAAACAGGACTGTGCAAGGAATTGCCACTGTTCCATTTCGTTGTATTTTGAGGCTATAATAATCATAGGACAAATTGATGTAAAGTTCCATATCTTTTTACATGAAAGAGCAATATCCAGACAGAAGCTAGCTAGCCACTTACATTGCTTTAGGGAGGACCAAGCTGCCATAGCTGCATTTTTCTCTGCTTGTTTCTTATTCTTGGCAGGTTCACCAGTAAACATAATTCCAGCTAATTCTACCGTCCCAGTAAAAACAGGTAAATGTCCTAGGCCTGACCTGAATGTAAAGTACTGCGGCAATGGAGCCCCTACCCTTTGTGCAATTTCCTGCAAGAGGTTCTTGTATACTCCCGTTTCATCCTAAATATTTTTTGCAAATGGTAAGCAAAACAACATGAAATCACCAATGACACAATTAACATATGCCAAACAAAGCAAACAATAACCATCTTAACGATGATAACAAAGTCATAGAAAGAATGATGCCCCTAGAATGTGCATAACATAGAGAAAACATGGAACCCTACACATTCTACTTCGAAAGACATGACGAAGGTCAAAGACTGGTAGCGTATAGACAATTAAGATAATTTAATTAATAATAAAAAAAAAACATGCACTCAATTATTCTGTCTTCCTCTTTCCTTTCACACAGCCAAATTGACATAACAAAAAAGGTGCAGTTCAACACAAAAACATGTAATTTAGAAACTCACAAAAAGCAAACTTTTTTTTTTTTTGCAAAATGAACAACAAGAGAGTGAAAAGTTCAACCCCTTTTAGGAAACAAATATCACAGACTCGTTTACTATAAAAACCAGCATACCCTTCCTCCAACAGCAAAATCAATTAAAAAAATCAAACACTTCCATCATAAACACCATTGCACAAACAACCCTAAACGAAACAACAGCCACATTCACAAGGCAAGGGCAGTTCTGTCATTTCGCAAGGCTAAGTCGCCGACAAAAGCAGAACAGAGAGAAACAGGGTTAGAGAGAGAAACAAAGCTAGAGAGAGAAACTGACGAGGATTCTAGCGGCGAGGGAGTGAGAGGGAGCACGGTGAGAGAGGGAATTGAGTGCCACCTCAGCCGCAGAGTGTTCTGCTTGACGGAGAGTGGAGCAATAGTGAGGGCTCTCGAAGATCTCGCCGTTAAAGTTAACGGTGGCCTTGAAGCGCGGCGCGTGATCGGGACCTTCCCGAATGCACGTGTAGGAAGGGAGGTTGAAACAGCTTCGCTGTGCCAGCTCCTGAAGCTGGTTCTTGTACATTTTCCTCTCTCTCTCTCTAACCCCAACCGCACTTTCTCTCTCTCAAGAAAGTGGGCCTACACTGATCCGATCCACCCCGTCGCCGCCGCTGACGGAGAATTAGCTCCGGCCAAATCGTGGGCTTGCTCCTTGTAGGGTTTGGAAATGAGAGAAGCTTGAAGCCACAGCAGCGGCACGGAGAACAGAGAAGAGAGAGAAAGTGTAAAAGAAAAGATGGAAGATGAAGAGTTAGGAGTTAGAGAGAGAAGAAAGTAAGATAGGAGTTAGGAGTAAATTTATTTTATGATTATTATTAAATTAAAATGCAGTTTTATATTGAAAAAATGAAAAGCTTATTTATTGCGTTGGTGCTGGGAGTCAACTCAAACGTTTGGGTTCACTTTTTCTAATGTTTTTGTTTAGTGATAATAATAATTTGCTATTTTTTTTTTCTTTTTAATTGATGGGTGGGGTGCAACTTGTTAATTGTTTTTTGATTAAAAAGTAGTAGCAGTAGTGTATATGGCTTTCTCATTGATTTTTCTTTTCTCTCTTTTGTGTTGAAATGAGATGCAATGATGCTGAGAGACAATTAATGAAACGCGTAATGGAATTGAATTGCATTTGAGCCTTTTTTTAGTGGGAGCCAGACACCAAATCCTGCCCAGTATTTACTAACTGCAAACGCTCATTAATGCAACCTATGTATTCTTATTTCTATTTTATTTTATATACATATAATTTACCATTTTTTAACCTCCATTTAATCATTCTTTATTCAAATATAATATTTAATATTAAATTATAAATTGACAGACATAATTCTAGCCTGATGTATTTGTATTAAATACTTATAAATTTGCCTTATATGATCTTCTAAGATTCAAATTTTATCTATATTATTTTCAGTTTTATTTATTCAATACATTATCGTCAAATTTATTTACAAAAAATAAATACATAATTTATCACAATCAAGAAAAATGATTATATCTATTTTATAAATACTTATAATATTAATTAAAATGTGACATGTTAAATAAATAAATACATTTATGTGATATATATATATATATATATATATATATATATATTAAATATGTCGGTTAAAGAAGTAATAAATAATATTTTCAAATTACATTATATTATAATGTATTAAAATTAAGGAGAGTTAATGTATTTTTATGTTTTTCAATGGAAAAAAAAAACCACTGTCCTTGCTTGTTATCGTTATTCTAATTTTAATATATAAATAATTTTCCATATAAAAAAATAATTAAGTTATCAAAATTGATAAAATATTTCATCAATTTATATTATATTTTAAAAATACGTGTGATATTGAATAGTTAAATTAATAATTTATAAATTAAATAATTTAATTTTTGTGCGCTGTGAGTATATTTTTTTCACATTATGAATATTAAATTTATATTAATTATTATATAGGACAATAAGCGTTATATATAAGAACTTATTATGTCAATATACAAAAATTACATTATTAAATATTTAAATTAAATTATATTAAATTAATATATATATATAAGTAAAAAATAATTGTCTTGTTATATAAATCTTATAATAAGTGAGAAAATAAAATAATTTATTTATAAATGTATATTTTTAATTTAATGCCTGTTTTTATAATATGTGCAATAACAATTTATTTATAATAATTTTAATTATAAATTATAGAATGTCACAAAAATTAGTGTAAATGGTATAAAATATTAAAATTTTAACAAAAACTTATTGTTTACTAATCTTTGATTATATGGAATTGGACATATATTAAAAAATTATGTATTTAATACAGTAAAACCTCGTTAACGAAACGATGAACTTTTTATGTTGTAGTCATCTAAAATATTTTTCTTTTATTAATTTGTTTAGTGTGCATTTAATATTAAAAATAATTTTTATTTTTTAAGAAACTATATATTTTTTTATTTTTCATGTAAGCATTTTATTACCTTAGTACCAACTAACCCATATTTTGCACACGAACACTAAATTACTAGTTATATTCAAAATCAATTATAGTGCAGTAAAATAATATTTGACTATATTCAGCATTTAAGTAATGTATTAATATTTTTTATTAAAAACATCAACTATATTATCATATTTTTAATATAATAATTTTAAATTACTTAATTAACACGTGTCTTGTATTTAAACAGATTATCTGTGATTATGACACAGATTACAACTAATATTTGTTGGTTGAGAAAAAATTGAATGAAGAAAAATTAAGAAAAGGAAAGGAGGTGAGATTTTATTTTATTTTTTTATATATAAATGAAGGCTTTCCATTTATTTAATCTTTTAGTTTTGGGTGTATTTATTTAACTTTTAAAAAAATTTATATAATTATAAATTTTTAACTAAAAACATATTTATAGCGAAATTTTTATTTGATACAAATTTTTTTATAATATTTTATTTTTATTTTATCTTTTCATTTGTCTAAGTAAGTTCCTTTAACTCGTTTAAATAGCAATTTTTTTAATTAATTTTTCTTCTGCATATAAATCTACAACCATAATTAAGATTTTAATTAGTATATTCCAGTGTAAGGACAATTCATAAATAGATGTTTTAACTTTCAGAGATTCTGTTTTCTACAATTCTCTCATAATTATAAACAAATGTATAGTTTTGTATAAAAAATAAACCTTTGCACTGATTTTTTTTTTTTAACAAAATGCTTTTTTGTAGTTTTAATGAAACGGGTGGAATCTAATTATGTTTGCATTAATGCCTAAAACCTATCATTCTCTAACCTAATTGCATTTAGGTAAGTGTGCTAGGATTCAATCATAAAATAAATAAATAATCGAGTAACGCATTTTTAGCAAATCAGGGAAACCCACCAAAGATATTTCAAATTCAATTAATTTGGACCACTTTTCATCACAATTGTATGCTTGTTCTTTAACATGTATTTAAAGTGCACTATAGAAATTAATGAATAAAATTTTTAATTACAGACTACAATATTTAATATTATCACTATATTAACTTGTATGATTAGAAAAATTAACATGTATCAATTATTATATTAAAAAAAATCATTTACTACAGACAATAATATCAATTGTTAGGATATATTCTATTAATATATTCTTATTTTAACAAAAAAAATATTTTGATATAAACTTGAATGTTTACGCTATCAATAATATCTATTATACCAACAAATACTCTTATTATTAAAAATACTAATAGAATATTGTATTAATTAGTTTAAACATTTAAAATTTATACTAACAGCATCAGAAAAAATTGATTCTAACAGCTTAATTTTCATTAAATAAAAATGATATTGAAAAAATATTTCAACACTTGATAATTTTATTCGTTGATAAATAATATGTTTATATATTATTTATTAGAAAAAAAATTATACATTCATATTTTAATATGATAAATACACTATTTAATAAAATTATTTTAAAATATTTGAAATTGACTATAAAAACAAAGTTAACAAAATTGTAAAAGTAATGCATGTCCCATGTGAGTTAATAAAAGCCTTAGTACACATTTGAACTGGGCATAAGAATTGTAAGTTTAACCTTTAATCTGACATTTGCTTATAAAAATATTAAAATAACCCATTAACTATATAACATGTGATTAAACTATTAGTAGAACAAATAATTATATAAAGCAGAACTTAATAAAATGCAAAAAGTTGTTGATAATGTTTAAACTTAGAACATAAGAGAAATTTGATGGTAAAATATAGGTGGTGGGGGTGGTCATGATTGTAAAACAGTAACAGAGGCCTTTGCTTTATGATAATGGTGTAAATAATGGAAGAGGCACTGAAGGGTGAAGGACCCAATAACAGGTCACGTGATATGAATTAGTGAGATAATTATGCTGTGTTTTATTTTCTTCAGCATGGTGGCCTCCACACTACACACTACACACTACACACACTCCTCTGTTTTAAATAACAGAGGATAGTTATGTTAAGTCAGAGCAAGACCATGTTGTTTATAAATGTAATAAATTTATTAAACTGTGTAAATGTTTAAATATAAAATTGATGTGAAAGAATTTAATATATAGTATAAATATAAAGCACTAGGCCTCATTATGATGGTGGAGTTAAGTGGGGAACATAACTTTTTCTAATCTCCGAAATTGGTGAATAGTGGCTTTGACAATTTGGAGGCACCGAATCCACAATGTAAATGATGAAAGAGGCTTTGGGGAGGAAAAGCTTTGTTCTTATTTATTATTTTTTTCCCCACCCAACTAAATTGAACGCACCTTATCATCATTCATATCCATGCATTTAATGGGGCATCATATTTTGGTACACATGCCATGACATTGCATCAAGAGCATTGCATATATGTTCTCAATTTTAAATGTTATATGGTCAATTTTTTAGAGAGGAAAACATCCACAATTTGACGTTTTAATTTTTTTATTTTAAAATTAGAATAATGTTTGAAAGCAAGTGTACAAAATTGATACTTTTTGTGAAAAGTTTAAGACACATGAGAAGTCTAAAATACAGAGAAGACTTGAGAGGTAAATCATATCTCTCTCGAACAAAGATGACTCAAGAGATATCTTTTAATGAAAACTAGCAAATCATATAAACAATTTTAAATATTACATCCAACTCAAAATCTTTTTTATCAATACATTTGAATATCATTCTTTTCTTAAATTCACCTCTTCTAGAAATGGTTATTTGAAGATTCTGAAATAGTATTAATCGCGAAAAATAGGTTATCCCATTTGAAATAAAATACAAGTCAAATATGATGACAGTACACTTCGAATAATGTGCTAATACACTAAAGTAGAAAGACAAAAAAAGTTTTTCATGAAACAGTGTCGTGTTTTCACAAAAAGAGAAAAAACAGGAAACACAAATATTTCATATATTTGAAAAATAATTTGTACAACAGTCAAAACAAACTGAGAAGCAAAGACAAAGATAAAACAATGACATCATATGCGTTTAATAAAGGAGGAAAACATTCACCTCACAGTAAACATTTAAAAAACACAGCGTTTACTTTCATGAAATTCTTAATAAATATGAATAATATTCATAAATATAAAAGAAATGTGTGAAAAAAAAGAGACCAATATTATAATATTTTTTTCATTTTTTTATCTTTGCTATGTATAGTTAATTTCTATACACTCTGTAAAATTCACAGGGAGTAGTATTTTGTTATTATTGTCTCCCATTAAATACACAACATTTAAAAAAAAAAAACCCTTGAGGTGTGAGCAAGCCAATAGAATTTTCTTTGTAAGCTGCAGATTACGATATAGTGAAGAAAATTCATATTTATTGTGTTGGGGACTAGTAAAAATTTTCAATAATTAGAGACTTTATCAATACATATCCTTTTTTTTTTTTGTTTTTTATGTTTAAAACCCAATCAGTTTTATTTTGTTGTTTTATCTAACTTGGGCTTGTTTCATAAATAAAGCGCTTAAATTCCATTGAGAAGTGACTACAAAAAGTGTAAAAAAACTAAAATGCAAAGGACTTAAACTAGTGTAAATATACCTAATTTGACTTGGAATGGTTGAAATTTGCGACTTAAAAGATCTCAAAGCTACAATAATGTCATGCTTAATTCAACAATTATGCTTGTATTATTCTTACATGTTAATAGCACACATTTCTAAAATATTACACACACACACATTTTTGTAAAATTGTACGATATCCTTAAAAATACTAAAATAAATTATGTAGAAGAGAGATAAGTATATTTTTTAAAACAAGTGTAATTAAATCTTTATTTTGGTATACATATATAGGCCAACCCATCAAATTAACTGTTTTTTTATGTATCTATTATCACTTTTATTTAATATTTTATAGAAAATAATTTATTATTAATATGATTATAAAATAAATAAAAAATTTATTTTAAACAAAGCTCGCTTAAATGAGAGTGACAATATACACATTCGAACTTATATGGATGGGCTGAGTTTAATAACATATAAATTTTTTATACAAAAATATATTTATTGTTAATATAATTTTACTATTAGTAGATGTTTATTTTCAGTCTTAAAAATTGAGTTAACATATTTCAATTTTATTTATATATTCAAATTGTTTTTATATTTTATGTTTATTAATTGCATTTGTTATTTCCAAGTACTTTTGCCCCGTCTTTCTCCGTCTTTGATGCATCCTTTCATTCATCTCAAGAAAAGGGGGAAGTTGCATTAAGTAAGGGTGGACCAGTATTGAAGAAAAAAATTATTGATAAGTTTTCTTGTACAATTTCATAAAAAAGGCACACCGTAAAGTTAAACCAAGAAAGTAGAATCGTAGTGGTTGTTTATGCATGTACACCTCACTTATTACATTTTTTTTTATATTCGATATAATAATATTTTACGATAAAAATGTACTATTTTAAATATTTAATTTTAGTTTTGAGAATTGAGATTGACAAAACTATTTTTATTATCATATAAGAATTATCAAATTATGTTGTAAATTTATGATGGCACTGACTGACTTTTTCTTTCTCCCAATGGATTTCTCTGTTTATTTAATTTTACAATAATTATAATATAAATGATTAGTTGCATGAAATTGTGTATGCGAATATTTGTTTTCAAGAAACATTATGGGAGGGTGAGAATGGATGGACTGGGTTGCAGCATTGAGCATTTGCAGAAGACAAACACACACTTAGGGGTTTCTTCTGCGAGTGCTCAATGGTATCTATTCTATCGGCTCCCCAAATACAAGTTGCCATATTATTAGACGCACAAAAATCAGATAAGCAACGACTTTATTTCGTGTAACAGCCCTTAAAACTGATAAGGGCCTGAATTTGACAATACATAAAATTGATAATACTGGATTTAATTCCGTGCTATACATAAAACTAATTTTATTAATAATAAAAATTATTATTGGAGAGAAAAGTTTGAAGATATGGACAAAATAATAGTCAAAATTAAAATTGATATTTAATTTTGCAAATTGAGGATTGGTGATAGAAGTTTGCATTTATGTATATATAGATAACAATTTAACATGGAAGATTTTATTAAACAAAAAGAATATTGAAAAATAATACATTTTGTAGGAATTATATTGAATAAAAAATCATCATACATGTTTACAGCATTTGCATGGAAATCACCATGAAAAGGGGCTAGCTCCTAGTAAAAATATTTCATTTTCTACATCTTTTATCCATTGACAAACATGGTTGCAAGTCTTTATCGCCAAGGCCTGCAATACTCAATTGTGCAAAAACATTTCAAAATTCATCCAACGGAAGTGGCACAAACATAAATACTCAATTATGAATCTATACTTAGGCACTGATAGATAACACAGGAGAGACGGGATCGTTCACAATATTAATAAGATAATCAAAATATCCTAGAAACAAGTAAAAATTGCACCTTGTCTGCAAGGGGATCAAAGGCAGCATAAAGCTCAAAATCCTGTGTCACCCAACAGAGAAGAACTGCCATAAAATGAAGATCCTGTGAGTTTCATCCAAATTCAATTGGTTTGTCTTTTATTCCATCAAGAAGAATACTGATAACACACTTTTGACATGCTTTTTCCAACATATTTTATTTGGTAAAATTAATTTAGGAGACATCAAATCATGTGGCTTCACTCCCTTTTTAGTGGAATTCAGGCAATAAAAAAAATGTTTTGCCAGTATTTCTCTTGGCATAAATCTCAAAAATATCTCATGGTGAACAAGCTCAATCTCTCCATAGTCTAAAAATACCATTAAAGCTTAATATTGAGAAAAGGCCATAAATAAAGCATGAATTCATACACTCCACCCCCATTTCTCCCTGCACCAGAAAAGAGTTGCATCAACCCATAATTGCAGACTCAAATATAACAAATATGCAGATTTTGGATATAATTCTAAAACTTATATTTAATATAAGGAAGAATAAGGCCCTTTTTTGTTTTGTTTGGAGTTTTCCCCAACCTATACCTAAGGGCTTCCTGCCTTTCAAGGGCTAGAAGAGACGAGGCATGGAATCCGATCTAGAGATAAAGCAGAGCCTACTTTCTGAATAAAAGAATTTACCAAAGGCTATTAATCTCGCTATCGAGTCGCCCTAACGGAGAACTCTAACTGAACTTTGGTAACCATAGATGTTTAGATAACCAGCACAAAATTACTTGGAGAAAACTGTTTTTTGAAAGAATTAATTTTGCATAAGTTTGTGAAAATGAATCAGTTTATCTGCGCATTGCTAAGTACAAGTACCAAAAACATATAAAAGTTAAAATATTATAAAGGATGCAAATTTGGTAACGTCATGATAATGTGTCATTAAAGTATTTTGGCTTCCTGCTGAATGTGGGATTCACAAAACCAAATGTCACAATGCATTATGTCATTTCCATATCCATACAAAATGGCACAGTGCAGAATCCATTTCAGACAGAAAATCACGCAGTGCACACACACGCTATGAGTATGAGCTATTAAGTATGAATCACAATATTTATTACCGTAGTTTTCATCTCTCCTAAATTGAGTTTTGTGTGGCCAAATTCCTTTGGCATGCATGGATGCAAAAAGCTTCTGGTAAGCTCTATACAGTCTGCATCAATGAAGACACGTTAAACTTCTGACTAGAATAGATTTGCATAAAGAAAATGAAAAAAAGGAAAAAAAATAAAATCCAGGACAGTGAAAGGCATAAAAAGTGAACAAGTGGCAATTACAGTTAATACCTTTTCTGCTGCTGAGGTGTGTTAATTGATGATGAAAACTCTGAAGAGAGATATTGATCCAAATATATACTGCGGTATATGAAATGCCACAATCCAGCAGGACCCCCAGTGCCAGAATTTGGTTCCCTAAATCTTTCAGGAGAATCTGGTGGAGGCATGTGCTGGCCCAAATGAGATGATCCAGAATGAGGTATAGGTGGCAGATCCTCAACATGCATTCCACCGTTTAGCAAGGATCTCTGAACTTCACTGAGGACACTAGACTTCAAAAGGACCATCTCGATGCGAATCCTACAAATAGCATGAAAATTTCTTAATCGAGACATAAGATCTTCTTGTAAAGTTAATGTATGCACTACCTCCACTAATAGCATGGTTGGATTTTAAACCATCACTTACCTGCAATCCTTAAGATGATAAAATGCATCTGAACTAGTGGTTAGCAAGATCAAATATGTGTCAGCCTGTCAAATAATTATATAAAATAATGTTATCTAAGTTTAATGTACAAAATATAACTGTGCCAATGATGTATTACAATCTGACTCACATCAAAGAAATGGATATAAGCATACAAAAATGCTGAAGGATTATATCTTGGCAAGCAAACTGGAGAAAAAGATTCTGACATCCTGCATAATTATAGCCAACAAAATATAATAAGAAAGTGAGAAACAGAATGGTAAGGGAAAGACATCCATTTGAAACAATTTTCTAAAGAAAAGAATTAAGCTGTTTTCCTGTTTGAATGTTCAATAACAACAGGAAATGAGCAAGACTGATATTTAGATAATGTTAGAGCTAACTGAGAATAGAGCTGTAAATCACCAGAATATTGTCACCCATCTAAAATTCTGGTCATTGTATAATAGAACAAAATTCTAAACCTTGGTCACTGAAACTTCGGGCAAAACTATACATAGATACTTAAATTTCTTTCAGAAATACATTTTTGAGAAAGACTCAGACAAGCAACGCTAAAAATTTTCTAATTTAGGAATATTAATAGCTTAAGTAGTTAATAGTCCTAATTGGAATATCTTTTTACATCAACTTTTCATAAATCATAATTCACTTCATAAATATCGCTAAAAGAAAAATCAGTGTGCTTCCAACATCCATTACCAAAATAAAGAAGCACTCAAACCTCTAATGAATGAGTAAATTATACCACTGAACCATCTGTGAGACTGACAGCTCTCTGAAAAATAAAATATGGACCACTCTACTTGCCTGAAGGATTCAGATGACATGACAAATTTGGCCAGCAGCAGCATATCATCAGGATGAAGGGAAGCTTTCTGTGCACCGACAAGACTGATCACCTGCACTCAGCATTCAAAGTGTTACTTTAAGTCAGTATATAAAAGGACAGATTACAGAATCAATTAGAGTCTAACCTTGTGCCTGCACATCAGTATAGAAAACAAAACACCTGAATCAGCAATGTCTTGCAAGATAGCTCCCGCAGCTTGCCTTGTTGCATATGCAAGAGGAAGACAAGTATAGGCATGAAGAAATGTAGCTGGGTTCCTGACATGATCAGACAAATAACAGTATTTACTACCAAAATATAAAATAGAGAACATCGGAAAACTGAACATGCTAATAGCAGGTAAACCAACCAACTGAAAGAGTGAATTAGTGAAGAGAAGACAATGTCTGTTCCGCCAAGCAAGGGTGTCATATCGAATTTTGGATTCTTCTCAAAACATCTGTTTACTGATTTTGTAAGTATAACAAGCATCTGCACATATATTAACAACAAGGATGTCTCATATATCCATCAAAACACGAGGAGTCCATTTGAATAACTAAAAGAAGCAATAGTTATTTGAAAAGCACAGAAGCTCGCATAATGAGCAAGCAGATGAATCCATAAAATTTTACAGTGCATCTCAATTATACCTGACCGTAAATCAGCTCCAACTGCCCCCTTAATGATTCATAAGGTTCTTCTGTGGAGCTGATGCAGACTAAGTAGATTGGTCCTTTCACAAGAAAAATCACCTACACCATGATTTTAAATCAAATCAGCAATCTCCAAGCCTTGAAACATTGTATTGGTACAGCAAGACATGACAGATAAACAGACTCTTTCCCAAGTTTTCGAAAGGTCACACAACCCATGCAGGGAAAAAAAGAATCTGGCATGGCAAAGCAGCAATATCATTTTGGGAGTAGTTTGAAATTATGCACTATTTGGGTAGAAAACCCCTCTTCCTCCTAAGCACTAGTTACATAAGGCAGCAGGTCACCAACAAAAAAGCAAGGATAGCGACTAAATGTCATTTACACTTTAAAGCTAAGAAGCAATTAAAATATAATTTGGCTTAACAAGATGTGAGGGGTCTAGGAGCTGGTTTTCAATTCAGGAAATGCTCAAATGAAACATACTGTTCAAGCACAAAAACATCAAAGGAGAAGAACATATGACAGACCTGATGCTTTCCAGCCCTCACCAATTTGATAGAGTCACCCCTGAAAACAGAAATCGAAGAGTCCATTGGAAAATTATACTTATATATGCAGTCTGTGAAACACAGTAAAGGAATAGTAAAGAACTACGGATGGTATTTAGTTGACCAGAAAAAGAAACAGCCACAATACCCGTTCTCAACAAAGGAAATGATTGCTTGCAAAGTTGCTGAAAACCCTGCAAGCCTGTGTTCATCTCCATACCTAGAAGGAAATAAATCGCATAACAAGAATATTACAAGAAGTTTAAGAGACATTAATTTCATCCCTGAAATCGGCATCATCAGTCAATTTGGTCATTAACATTAGAAAAGGCAAATTTAGTACCACACTACAACAACTATCAAACAATTCATTACTCGAAATTGGCAGCATCAGTTAATTCGGTTTTCAACATTGCCCATTTGATCAATTTGGTCTCAAATTTTAACAATCATCAATCAAATTCGTCTTTGATGTTAGCGACCGCATTAACTTGCGCCTACTAAAGTCAGGAACTAAAGTAACTAATATTTGACAAAATCAGGACTAAATTATTTATTCATAATGCTAAGAACCAAATTCACCGGAAGTTAAACTCTAATTTGTTTTCTTAGTAATTTTAAAAAATAAATCGACAGGTAATACTAAATTAATGTTTTACTTGAAAATTTAAGGATGCAAATTGACGAGCGGACAAAGGCAAAGAAGCACTAACCTAGAATATATAGGTTTGCCAGAATGACTGAGAATAAAGAAATGCTTCTTCCTTTTCCTCCATGATATGGAAGCATCATCCTGCACTTTATTCATTAATAAACAGAACATAATATTTAACAGTTATTCATCCTCATAGAGTGTGCGTACTAAAATCACCGTACATACCTCGTCGAGATGCCGTTTTCCAGGAATCCAAGAATGGTGGGAGTCGGAGATTGAGATTGAATCGATTTCAATCCTCGCATCCTCCTCTATTTCTTCATGCTCAATCTCAATTTGAGAATCGCTGGTGGCACTGGTGCTGCCTCTTTCGCCGACGTAACCACTACTGCTAGGGCTGGATAGCGCATCGTCCGAAGCAAGTTCGATAGCATCCCTAATCTCTCCCTCTCTCTCGTCGTCGATCATAGTGATGAATGTAGAGAGAGAGAGAGAGAGAGAGTAATAGGGTTTTGAAATTGTGGTTGCTACGGTGCCTGTCTGCCAGTCGGTGCTTGTCTAGACTGGGTCTGACCGGTAGCTGCAGTCAGCGGACGTTCGCCTGCCGACCCGCCACGAACTGCAATTTCCGGGCCGGGCTTTCACACTTTCTCGCAATGGCCCAGGCCGTTTGACTTAGCAACACTCTATGCACTATTCTACGATAGGCTATCTTGCTAGTATTTGCATGACAAAAAAAAAAAAACTGTATTTGATATATAATTTAATATTTTAAATTTAATAAGTATAAGTATAACAAAAATTTCAAGAAAATATATTTTCTAATTTTTAAAAAGATTCTAATGTTGGTAAATCTAGAAATTGGTCATACGGACGAAGTAAAATTATTATATCATATTATTTTTAAATCGATAATTTATTTAAGAATATTGTTAGAATACACCCCAAATTTTTATATGTTTTAAATTTGTCTTAATGTCGTAAAGATGACTTTTTTAAGAATAAAAATAATGATTAAATTACACTTTTTTATTTGATAGATGTTAAACTACTTACTGTATTCTTATAATTTGAAATTTTAGACTTTCCTTGCTTAAAAGTTAACGTGTTTATATTTCGATTTTATCTTGTTACATGGAACAAGCTTTTCGAAGGCAGTTTTTCAATGACATTTTATCATCGATAGATAGTTTTGAAATCTTACTATCGACTGTGAGGGTCTATAAAATAAAACAAAGATTTTAGTTAGAGTTATAAAACGACATTAAAGGTGCAAAACATTCATTTTTGGTGATACTAGTTAGAAGTTATAAGAAGAGAATAAACAGCAGTATATTTTATGTATTAGAGAAGGGGAACATATTTTTAAAAATAGAAGGAAAGTTGTACACGTTGATTAGAAGAGATTTTTGGGTGTGTTGAACCCGTTTTAATTGTCCGAATGGAAACTGAATTTTTTAAGGTTTTGATAAGAATTATGAAGGACCCAGTCTAATTATCTTCTGTTCACAGTTCACACGATTCTCATCTCTCCTGGTGGCTTGGCTATAAGGCGGTCGTTGATCTAGCTTAGCCTTCCTGCTGTGCTTTTAAGCAGTAATTTTGGAATTGAATATTGGTGGGGTGGCACGAATCCGTTGAGATCACATTAATTGCCCCAAGCTCGTAGTACAGAAGACCAAGAAACAATCAAAATGTGTTTTTGAGCTCTTATTAGGGACCCTAAACGAGCTATGAGCAAGCATGGTTGAGCTATGGCCAGACATTACACATTCCCTCAATTTAGATGAGCTGCTATTGCCAATGCTATGTGTTGAGCAACCTTGGTCAAATGGTAAACTTGGTAATCTAATCAGCTTGTAATGTTTTTTTTAATGTAAAAATTTAAAATGCCAGCGATGAATGGATATTTGATGATTAGTACACATTAGTTAAGGGTGTTTGTGGTGTAGAATGATACAACCTTAAGCCGTTGGTCCCCCAAATTAACCGTATCAAAACTCAAACCCCACCACCAATCATTGAACAAACGGACCCTACCTTCCTTTCTTTGTTCCTACAACGGCCCCACCGTCCCCTCTTCTAACTTCCACTCACCATTTAGATTTTCCATTAACACACACACAACAATCCAATCCTGAAAATTAAACACAGCCACAACAATTAATTAACCAGAAACGAAATCACCAATATAGCATATATACTCTAACAAATAACATTAACATTATTGAAAAATGAAAAAGATCCTCCTTCAAGGTGAATAGTACAAAATTACAAACCTCAGGTTTCGAATTAATTACCGAAACCTCATAATCATCTCATATACGGCAACGTTATCACCAAAATAAAATAAAATAAAAACTAAAAATACATGCCAATTACAGAAACAAAAGTAGAACCCAAAAAAAGAAAAGAAAAGAAAAAAGAAGCTTCGGTTATGGTTATGGATAATATGCATAGCGTCTTCAGTCTTGAAACCCGGTTTTAGCCCAAATTGCATTTCGGACTCTACTGAGATCCCTTCCCTTAAGGGTCCTCCCCACACCTTCATGAACAGAGAACGAAGCTACCCTCGTTCTCGCTAGAAACTCATGCGGTGGCAACCTCCCACTCCTTTCAACCTCGTAACCCTCGTCCTCGTCCACCACGCTGTTCCTCCTTCGATTCTCTCTATACTCATCGCCGAGAATCTTTGACCAATCGGGGACGTTGACCGGCAGCGATGCCGGAGTTCCGGTGGAAGAGGGTTTACTGGCCAAGGAAGGGCCGTGAACGGAGCTGCGGAACTCGAGCGAGTTAACGCGGCCCGAGTTGTAAACATCTGACTCGTCGAACTCAAACGCGGAATCGGAATCCATGGTTAACGAGAACGAGTCAGTGTCCGCAGAGACAGGAAGAAAGCGATTGTTTGGTCTAGCAAAGTAGCCCTTACTGGTGGCCATTGCAAGCATGAAGATGAGGGTTTAAAATTTGAATGGCAATATGAGTGGAAGCTTCTATTGTTGCTTCCTCTGTGTCTGTGTGCTGGTTGCGTCTTCAATGGTTTTCTTTCTCTCTTTCTACTACGTTGTTGTTTATTATGGTTGCTTTGATGTGCTTTTATAAAGGGTTTGCTAGTTGCTTTTCTTTATTCTCGTTATTATGGATCGCGTGGACAAGAAAAATAAAATAAATATATTTATTATAGAAAGAAAATGCGGGGTTGCATTCTGGATAAGGTTCCATCTTCTCTGTCCTTTCTTTCTCGAGTTTCTTTCTTAATTAACGCGTATAAGAAGCTACCCATGCACCCACCCATTTTACTCTCTCATGAATATCCCGCGTCATATAATATATGTTTAGATTTTAATTAAAATTCTATAGATAGGTACCATACATGTTATGTTTTTTCTATTTTGTTGTATCATTTATGGTATTTATTAATTTATCTTTTATATTTTTTTTTCTCCCAACATGTATACATCTAAATAGAGTGAAATAAAATTCCTTTTAAATTGTAATTTTATATTCTGATATCATCTCACAGTTTCACGTGGAGTTTATCAATCTCTAACTTCGATTTAGATTTTAAAATAATAATTTTAAAAAGTATTTTTTACTAAAAAGCGTGTTAAATATTTTATCTCTTGAACTAAAATTGGAGTGATAGATTATTATTAAGGTCGTTTCTTGTAATAAACATACGTGCTTTTAGAAAAGTAATAGAGAAAAAAAGAGAATAAATTCTAAGATTAAAAAAGAAGAAAGCAAAGAAATAACGATAATGGAGCGATGGTTTTTAAAATTTTAATCATTAACTCTAATTAATTAAAATATTAACAGGGAAATTCTCAAAAATGAATATATTAACAAAATAAATGTCAATATATGAATAAAATTAATATTAATCTATGATTAATTTTGTTCTGACTTCTATATATAATTTTGTCAATTGTTTTGCGTAAAATGTGTTATGTAAAAATTATGATTAATGTGTAATGTATTAAAAAAACACATAATATTTTATAAAAAAATTCGTTAACTAAGTCATATTGGCTTCAATTGTGTTACATTATAAATATTTACAAAAGGAAAATAGTCTGTAAAGAGAGAAGCATTGAAATTAAATGGCATTGAAGTAGGAGTCTGGAATTTGGGCTCCCTTCACCGTCCCTGGTTCGTGTGAAGAAGAGGACAAATGTGGTCCTGTTTGGATGGTGAAGGATGAAGACACGTGTTAGCGAAGATATATACAGGACACGTGGCGTTCAATGGTTTGCAGAGAAAAATGGAAGGGGAATGATGGCACGTGAGATAGGAGTGTAGGACCTCATCCAACGCTCAGTTATTTCCTCCCTGCCAGCTGGCCCTCACTTTATGTTGTCCTCTCAAATGCGACACCCCATAATCTCCTTAGTTTATCGTTTCATATTTTCAGGACCACGTTTAATTAAACTTTTTTATTTTTATTTTTTAATGTGGGTTTAAATATCATATTATAAATTTTAATATGTTATTCATATAAAATGTTTGTTAAATTTATTATTATTTTTTGTTTCTTTACGTACACTTACAAAACATTCGATAGTTTTATATTTACATGTTTGATAGTTTATGATGAAATAGGATGGGTGATAATTTTATTTTTCTAAAATGGAAGAATTTTAATAAAATTTTGAGAGATAAAAAAGTGAGTTTTTTTAGTTTAGATAAATTTTAATGTTTAAATTTATGAGTTTTTAATAGAAGATAATCTAATTTGAAAGAGTTTTAAATATAAAAATTTGATGAGAATGAAAAATTACTCATCTTCATAATAAAAAAACTTAATCATATTTTAAAAAATAAAATCACCCGTAATTTAAATTATAGAAAATAAAAATACAATTAAATCAGCATAATAGTATATAATACCATAATTACTAGTTACTATCAGCTGATTGCAACATTTCATGCCACATTTTATTTACAGATAAGGATCCACATTGCATGTTAAACATTGATTATATTTTATTTTTGCCCTTTCTATGTCTTTTAGGAGTAGCTAAGGACTAAACTCTAAGGTTTTAATTTATATCCATATTCGTTATAATGTGGAATGCTTGACAGAGCATTTAACCGATGATTAATTGGAGTTATAATTTAATTGAAAATTCAGTTGCAGGGAAGCATATCTGCATGTTCATTTTAGATGAATTTGTATGCCACCTATGAAATCAACAACTCTCAAAGGGGCAACAATATTGCATCCATTGATTAATTAGTGGATCTAAGTATCGAGAATAAGAGAGCTTTAGACAAAAGAAAAGCCAAAAGCACCCAAACCAGGATCTAGAAAAAACAGGCTTCATGAACTTCAAAATAGTGGCTCTTTCTCCTTTTCTTAGAGAGATAACAAGTGGGAGTCTTATTAAGATTCCTCTAACTAGTGATGGTTATTACTTTATAAATTATTTTAGTAACCTTTATCACTTTCTCATTTTTTAACCAGTTACCGATATAATAATACCATGTGTGATGATTTGTCACATTCCATGAATAATTAACATAATCAATTCAAATAAAAGATTTTCATCTTTTTCATTTTGAGATGGAAATTTTTTTTGAACAAGATGTAATGTTTCCTTGTTTTATTCCCTTTTCAAATACAAAAGGTTCTTGTTTTCAAAAAGTGTTATGAGTGGATTTTTAACCAATCAAGAGGAAGAAAGATATATGAATAGTGAGAAATCATGGGTAGTATAATTGTTGAGAAGAAAAAAAAATTCGCATGCTTTGAACTTAGGATGAGATAGGATCCGTGAAGTTGATGATGCATAATCTTTAAATTTCTCAGTTTGCTGTTCCAATACGTTGTCTCCGCATGTGAGGCATCAGACATAACCGATTGATTTAAGTTGCCTCTCTTGTGCTATGTGAATAAATTCTTACGTTCTTTTAAAGGAACAAATTTTCTTTACTTTTTTTAAGGAAATTTTATCAATAACTTTATGTTCGTTTCATTAAGAGACATTTACATAAATCCAACAATAAAAATCTCATCGAAGAACCTTTCTTTTAAACCATGCTACCAAAGAAACTGTGTTTTTTTTTTTTTTGGTTACGTGCTTAGTTTATGCTGTAAACACATGTTAACTTTGTTCTTGAAATTTACTCAAAAGACAAACAAATAAATTAGAGGAAAATAAATATTTAGCTGCAATTTAGTTTCAACCTTGGTTCTTTCATTTCAAGCAAGGGAAGGAGAAAGCATGACAAACAATATAACCTTATTAGGCTAGCTCTATTAGTGAAACTATGATATTTATGCAGTAGTGATAGGAAATTGAATTGACCCCATCTCCCTCCACATGCTTATCGCAATCATCACATTTCAAACAAATTTTGATCTAACCCCACAGTGCATGGTAGTGTTGTTGTTTATTTGTCCCTTTGAGGATGTGCCCATATTATGACATTATCCAACATCAAATCTTATTTCTATGAAAAACGGAGATATTTCTCCACCTTGATGGGCGTGAAATGAACATAATATAAAAATACAATACGATAAAATAATAAAAAATAGAAGAGAAAAGAAATATATACAAGAGGGCAGAACTAAAAGAATGGAAGTTTTCTTTTTGTTTATTATCTACTGCTGTGTCATTTTTATACAACTTGAGGAAACTTCTGTATAAAGGTTGAAGTCTGTTTTATATTTATTGAAATTTTGCTTCGTTCAGAAGAAGGAAAAAATTTTAAAAGGGAGAATCTGGACAGCGTTTTTTTTTTTCTTTCCATTTGTAAAGAAAGGGATATAAAAAATAAAATGTTTTCTCACTATAGTTTTTTAATAAACAAATAAAATAGTTATATTAAAGTGATTAAATTATACGTACTTTAGTCAGCACAGTTAAAAAACTATAAATTTTTTCAATTTTTTTTGATTTGGTCGTCAATTATTTTCAAATGAATTATCTCCTTTTTTTCTCTTTAACTAAGTAGTGATTTTCTTTTCGGCCCAGGACCGTTTTTTTTTTTGCTGGTGTCAAATTCCCGCTCTAGTAGAAGACCTCCTTCTCGGTTTTATGGTTATGAGGAAAACCCAAGGGCCAAAGCCCAAAAACATATCAATGAAATAAAAGCGAGCCCAAGTTCCCAATAAAGCAAAAGAGTCAGTTTCGCCATGTCGATCCACAGAGAAGAGCCCAAATATCAAAAGACTTCTCTACCCTTCAATCTGTGCTCGCAACGTCAGTGTCAAAACTGACATTTCAGCTTCAACGTGAGCAAAACCCTAGTGACCAATATATATTATCCCCTCCTCGTTCCCCTTCCCTTCGCTTCGCCTCATTTTTTCACTCTGAAACCCTAACCCCTCTTCGATCGTGCAACAACAATGCCGCCGAAGTTCGACCCCTCACAGGTCGTTGACGTCTTCGTCCGCGTTACCGGCGGAGAAGTCGGTGCGGCGAGTTCGCTCGCTCCCAAGATCGGTCCGCTCGGTCTCTCCCCTAAGAAGATCGGAGAAGACATCGCCAAGGAGACCGCGAAGGACTGGAAGGGGCTGAGAGTCACCGTCAAGCTCACCGTACAGAACCGTCAGGCGAAGGTAACGGTGGTTCCCTCGGCGGCGGCGCTCGTCATCAAGGCCCTCAAGGAACCCGAACGTGACCGGAAGAAGACGAAGAACATCAAACACAGCGGGAACATATCTCTCGATGACGTCATCGAGATCGCCAAGGTCATGAGGCCGAGGTCCATGGCGAAGGACCTCAGTGGAACCGTGAAGGAGATCCTCGGAACTTGCGTCTCCGTTGGATGCACCGTCGACGGGAAGGACCCGAAGGACTTGCAGCAGGAAATCACCGATGGTGATGTTGAAATCCCTCAGGATTGAGGATGAAGGCTTTGTCTCTCTCTCTCTCTCTTTTTCTCTTTCTGTTTGATCAGTGTTTTTCTATATAAATTTGGGGAACTATTGGACGTTTTGTTTAAGTTAATCTACCGTTTTGGATAATTTAGATGATTTCGAGAGATCTTATCAGCTTAGTTGATTTCTGCTTACAGCATGATATGTTGTTTCGATATAATTTTGTCAATGGATTTTAGTAATTTTGCGTATATTTATCCTTTTTGTTCGTCGAGTCTAGTTCATTGCGAATATTCGGTCTTTGTTGAATTTACAGGTTGAGTTTGAATTTCTTTTTTCCCTATAATTTTCTTATTGTTATGTTGTTATTGTCCCAGTACTCAGTGCTGTGGTTATAGAAAATATAGCTAAGCTGGAAATGAGGGGTTGGTTTAAGGGAATCAGTTGAAGTAAGCTTTAATTCAACAAGTGCTTATCTTAGCAGCATATTTTGATCAACTTCACTGCGAAGATTGTTGACATAAGTGAAGAAGAGTTAGTTGGGAGATCATAAGTTTAACCAAGCATTTGATTCGGTGCATATGTGATGGCCTCAAATAAGCACGCTAGCAGTTCTTCCGCACGTGCCCTAGTTTATCTCTCGTGTGTATGGATTTGCTTATTTAATAAATTTTTAAATTTTGGTCAAAATTGCCAGATGTGTTTCAATCCGCATCCGATTTCAAACGATTCATTTATTTTGTTGTTTTCTTAGGATTTTTCTAATTGCAAAGGATAAAAAGTTATATCAAGTAAGTTTTCAAAGAAAATTGTAGCATTTAATATTATCAATGCATTAAATAATATTGAATTCTGTAATTTTTAATAAAAATTTACTATATATAATTTTATATCCTTTGCAATGGTGCACAGGTTAGAGAAATCTTTTTTCTTATTATGAACCGAGGGTTATGTTGTGCATGATGGATTATATTTTTCTGAAATGGGTTTTGTAATTGGTACCATCATTTCATCTGTTAATATTTATTATTATTATTATTATACTATGATGGTGTGTAAAATCCGTTTTCTGCATTGAATCCTTCTATTTTTTGCTTAATTATGTAAGAGTTGATTGTTGGACATTGGTGCATCCTGTAATGCGTTTACTGTTGTGCATGATTTGGAATTTGTTTGATTTGGAATGATTTGAGTATTGAAACATGTTATAAAAAATTCTTATTCCTTTATAAATTCTGCTTATTAACGGAAGAAAAAGTAAGCAATTGAAAAGGGGTTTGAGATAATACTTTGTATTCACTGCCTCCATTTTAAGTTGTATATATTCATAGTGTATCAAGGGGTGTTTAGTAAGTGCAGTTTTCATTTATTGGATTTCAGTTGTAGTTTGTATGTGGAGGCTGCATGTTCAAGACTTTTAAACTTGGAGAATATTTATCTCCGTTGGAAGCTAAATGTTAGTTGTTGGATAGGGATGAATCTTGGTTGACAATTATAATGGCTGGGGTGCTTCCTTAAAGGAAATTATTGATTGTTGATATGTTATATATTATTTTCACGATACCAATGTTGTGAAAGCACAATACCTACTTTGTTCCAATTGAGTTGATCCTTAACCATCGGATTGAGGTTCGGAAACTACATTGGGTTGGAGAATGTTTTTATTACCGGTGTTACCTCTTAAAGTATGTTGGTAGAATGGTTTAATGTGTCAGTTGATGTCTCCAATTGGATTGGTGGTGTTATCGGTCATTTGTGCAGGATACAATTTTTTTGTTGTACCGTAGCGAGCGGTCATCTCGTCAGACGTCAGTAATCGACGTTTACGTTAATTTGGTATTTTTCGGCATGCATTGTCAGTTATCTAAAGCTAAGGATTTGTAATGGTAAACAGCAGAATTGTTTCGCGTTTTCCCTTGTATTGTCAACAGTCTGCTTGGATAATTTTGCTGGAAAACTGAATTAAACTTCTAATGTTAGTGAAATTCAAAGGGTTGGTAAATGGAGCGAAACAAGTTTTCAAGTGTTTTTTTTTTTTTTTTTATCAATTCGGAAATTTGTCTTGAATTGTGACTATCTCAATTTTTTTTCCAAAAACGTTAATACACATCACTTTTTAGGGTATTTTTAACGTCTCCCTGAAATTTAAAGATATTGTAAAACTATAAATTGTATTTTTGGGTTGAGTTTACCTGTTTCTTGAAACCTTGTATTTCAGCTCTTCCCTTTGCATGTGATTTTGTAGTAATTAACTACTGAATTTTGGTTAATTTTCGCATCTTATCGGGCCTGGGTGCTGTCTTAGCTGCAAAAGATGAAAAAATATAACCGTGAATGCTGAGGGCTTGGTTTTTTTATTCTTTATTTCTGAAAATTTAATTCTGGAAATATTGTTTTAGAAATTTTAATTTGAAACACTCAATTTATTTTTCAATAGTAACGGGCATTAGGACTGCGTTGAGTCCAATCTAATTATCTAAGATTATGGGGATAGCGAGTGATCTACTTATCTAATAAGTTGACTATTTAGATAGTCATCTTTTTCATATTCTCTTTAATTTATAGTTAATGCATTTTAGTGAATATTATTTTTTTAATATAAAAGGTCACCCATAAGAAGTGTTTCTTATGGGTTCCCGCCGGACTGTAGTCCTCATCAATCGAAGTCTCCGTTGGCCTATTCCAATCCTTTCTCCCATCTTCCTTAAGAAAAGAAAAACCATTCCCTACTTTCGCTTACCGTTGGTTTGGCCTACGAGTAATTCTTCTCAGCATGAGACTTTTTATTATCTAACACTTCATTGCAAGTCTATAAATAGCTTATTTTATTATTATTTTTTATTTTCTGACATTGCACTTGTTTTTCTTTAATTTTTTTAATGGCACATGTCTAACAGTTTTTTTTAAAAAATAAATTTTGGGCCATTCTTTTTTCCAAGTTTTTTTAGAGAAAGGAATTTCCAGATGCTTTCTGAAAGTGCGGTGGACAGAAAAAAAAAGTGCTTCTGTATTATGAAGACATTACATCTTGTGTTGGTTAAGAAAAGTCCTTTCAATAAGGCAATATGAACAACACTTAACATTTTGCAAACAAACAACCATAGCAGAGCGTCATACCTAAAATAAGGCTAATTCAATGCGCTTGACTGTAGCGCGCCTGTGTCCCAACAAATGACTTTTGTTTGGCATACCTAATGACTAATCATCAAAATTTGGGGACAGAAAAGATAACTCAGAACATGGCTTATTCAATCATCTCCTGCTAAACCATGATTGAACTCAATTCCCAAAACCCTATAACATAAGTGATTTTCCACAAGCCATCAACATTACTCGGACCTTGAGCAAAATTTTCTCATGAGTTCTATATTTTCCGTAATTGTTGACCCAGGAGTTCCAACAAAGCCAAGAGACGCACAGCTGCACACGGTCTGCTCAACATAAAGAAGTAGATCCGGTAATCTCTGATTGGAACAATATTTTTTACCACTTGTATTATCTAAATTCGAAGTGAACCTCTATCCATGACCCGCTGCCATAAGTTTCATGGCTGCTTGCCTCAACAAATCATCATCCTCTCTCAACAAATATACCTTGTAGTTAAGCCCATCACTTATTAAATCACTCAAATAAGTATCAGTCCAATTATCTCTAGGAAGATCAGTCATTACAAAAACATGTACGGGTAGAGGGCTCAAAGATTCTATCTTTTGTCTTAACTCATGAAATGTAGCCTTTTGATGATTCTTAAATTGCTCATCCAGCAGTCCAACACAAAGAAATGGAGCCTTCATGGTTGCTTTAGCAAACCCCTTTCCAGCAATCATAATTTCTCGAACAAATTGAAGAAATTGAATCTTCTCCATCCAAGGTAGAAACCTCTGGTCCTGTTGAGACTCAACACTATCAACGTATAGCTGAGATATGAGGCACAGAAAAGGCTTCCAAATGCAAAGAGTGAGATTGATTTAACTTGAGAATCCAGTCCATGAGTCTTAAAAACATCTTTCCTTCTCCCAACATATGATAGTTTCTTATATTTTCTTTTTCTTCTTCAGTTGTTCATCAGGTTGAAATGAATCTAACATGTCATCCTCGTGACCATGGTAAGTCCACACTGTAGTTCTCCAATCTTCATTGATAGCATATACACAATTTCCAACACTCCCATGAAACCCAGCTAGCAGAGATCCACACTGGTTTAGGCTTTCAGAAACAGAGGATTTCAGCTTTCCATCTTTTAAGCAAGCTAAATCTAAGCCACACCATATTGACACAAAATCCCCGAGATCAATCACTCGAGCAAGAGAGGAAGAAACTAACGATGTAATGTCTATAATTTCAGCGTTGGAGACATAACGCCCACTCCTAATTAGCTCAATCACATGATCCCAAACCAAAATTCGAATACCTTTGGATCCAGAACCCTAAACTTTGGGCAACTACATACGGCAACAGCATGATGAGGTGCGTGAATTTCTCCCCTATGGCTAGGGCTTGGCGGGAGCATTGAGATCTGTTGGGGAAAACCAAACACAAGAACACAACTATCTAAAGTGAGCAGCGGAAACAATTCCCCAAACTTGCAAGAACCTGTGAGGAGCAACAACAATAACAAATGGCAACATCAAATATAAGGACACAGAAAATTATTTACGTGGGAAAACCCTCTCAATGTGAGAAGTAAAATCCCACGGGCTCAAGCCAGTCAATCAAGCTCCACTATAATCAAATGAGGTTACAAGAGAGTCTCAAAATACTGCACAAATTCGTGCAAACAACCAGCTAATACAACCAAGCAATAAAGCCTAACCAAGAGAGAAAATCTCCCAAAACAGAGCTTCTGTTCATACACGATTTCTCTCAGCCAAAACCTCCAATCAACGATCCCAGCGGTCAGAACGAAGAAATATACGTCTGAGAACTTCTGTCAAAGTTTCAGCTCAATCCAACGGTTGAATAAGGAGAAATAACGATTTCTATGCGACTGGTCTGTGCAGAGTCCCCAAAAACAGGGCTTCTGTGCGAAGAAAGTATCTCCAACTTCAGACTTCCAATCGACAATCCGAACGGTCAGAACAAAGAGCACCGTGTTAAGAATCTGCTGTAAAATTTTCAGCCCGATCCAACGGTAAACTAATCGGATATCAGAGAAATGGAGCAGCTGGTCTGGAGCTTCTTTTCTTCCCTCACTTCCCTTCTCTCTTTTTGATGCCTCTCACCGAAAATATCACACTAGGCTGCGAAAAATAGACTTCCCTCACCCACTCCACTGACTTCTCACTCCCCTCAATTAAGTATAGAAAATGAGCTTGAAAATTTGAGCTTTTTTTACACATAGTTGGGAGTCCAACCCAACAATTCTCCCCCCTCACAACTATGTGGAGGTGACCGTCAATCTGGCGATCTCACAATAGTACTCAAACTTCCCTCTTGGTAGTGCCTTAGTCATCATATCAACATTATTATCATCAGTATGAACTTTAGCCAACTCCAACAGCTTAGCATCCAAAACATCACGTATCCAATGATGCCTTACATCAATATGTTTGGATCTAGAACGGAAAGTTGGATTCTTACCAAGATGGATAGCACTTTGATTGTCACAGAACAACAAGTATTTGTCCTGCACAAAACCAAGCTCTTACAAGAATTTCTTCGCCCATAGCAACTCCTTG